CTTGCCCTCCTCGGCATTGAGGTATCGAGCTGTGCTGAGCCCCCTCTCGTGTTTCGCCACATAGGTTCCAATGACAGAGTCCTTGCGCGCCTTGGCGAAGTGCTCATTGTAGCCCTCGACAGCAAATGGCCTAGGGTTGAGGCGTGGCCAGTTAACCTAGAAAGAATTAGAATGGATTGAGGTGAGTGCCATGCAGCGAGAAACTTACGTAGAGCATGCCGTGGTTCCAGACAAAGTAGAAAGACCAGGCAGCAATAGCCATCCAGAAGAAAAGGAAGATACGAAGAGGCAGGGCGCTTGCTTCTGGGTCTCGGCGGGTAAAGAGACCAATGAATACAATGAAAACACTGAAGGCAAGGATATAGGGAATAGCCTGGATCAAGACCGGTCGACGGTCAGTGAAGACCAAAGTAGTGCCGATATTGGCTGAGCCTGGTCGGTAAGCTCCAAGGAAAAGATCAAAAGAATCTTGTCGCGGTCCATCGAGGAAGTTGTTACGGAAATAACGTGTGATACCAATACGGGCATCCTGAAGGGCACCGACTTTAGTCCTGTTACCAGTACGTGTGACATCAGTCTTCATGGCACCAGTGCCAGCATATGAGTTGGAGACAACATCAGCGTTGTCAGCCCAGAGATTACGGAACAGATCCTCAAAGGCAGGATCCTCGTCACGGAATGAAGCGCCGCGGGGCATGAAGCCAACATCCTCGAATATGCGGTCAAGCTTATGCCGAGCGAACATGCTCTGGACAACGTTCGTTCGGTCGAGGCAGTCCATGCAGTTTGTACGCATGACACTGGTCTGGTAGCTACGGGCGTCGAGGCTACCGTCAACGCTGGAAGGGGTATCAACGGCACGGAAGTAGCCCTGCTTCTCCAACGCATCGGCCAACTTCTCAATAAGAGCGTAAGCCTTGTGCATCTTCATGCCCTTTGTCTCGCTGTGGTAGTCAAAGTAGACATAGTGCAACCGGTCAAACTCTTGGCGTTTGCCCTCTGGCTGAATTGTGGTGAACTTCTCCTCAGTGAGCAGGTCTGCCTCTTGCCGCTCCTTGGGAGAAGAAACGAGTTTCTCAACCATCTGCTCGTACGATTGCTTGACCCGCTGCTCGCGACCCTTCTGGTTGACCAAGTTGATGAGATAGTTGTCACCATATAAGCGAATTTGCTCGTCGAAGTGTTTCTGAGCAGCGGAGAAAGCAGCATCGACGCCGCGGATTTGAAGCTTAGGAACATATCGCAAGCTGTTGATCTCAGCCCAAAACGTAGGAACGCTACCACGGGTCTGGACATAAGAGAATATCTGCATCTCCTGACCGGCGCCAGCGCCAAACTTGCCGCTCTGCATGTCCGAACTGCCTGCGTATCCACCCAACCCGCTGCTACTGTCGTTGAGGATGATGATTTGTTCCGTCTCATTGTAGTTGGCGACGTGTCCCTCATCATCTACACCTCGAGTAAAGTACCTGGTACCACCGCGGTGGCGGGATCGGCGGGTAATGAGAGCCAGAGTCAAGGGGTTGCCCTTGAATGTGGTAGGCTTGATCTCGAGCATGCCGAAGATGCATGGCAGGATATATGGGTCAACGCCGGTTTGTGCGCCAGGCTGTGATCGAGCGCCTCGGGTGCGGAAGTCGATTAGATCGCCCTGAAGATACTTGTTGAAGAAGAAACGATCGTCGGCCTGCATCCACAGGGGCTTGGAAGTGTCGGCCTGGGCCTGACGTTGGAAGGAGTTGGTAAGGTCGATGGAGTAAGAAAAGTACATGGGCCCGGAAGCCAAAAAGTTCTTAAGAAGCTGAATGAAGATGTCTTCGTCGGGGTCGTGAATCAAGCGCTCGCGCATGGGTAGGATCTCCGTGGCAGCGACCTTATACACCATGTGGCCTTTGAGACGGCCAACAGGCTGGGCTTTCGTGATGAAGATGACATACTTGTCTTTACAAGGTCAGTGAAATGCACAAGCCAAAACCAGAGGACATCAGCCCAAGAATTGGCGCGGCAGAGACGAACCAAGGCGAAGCTGAATAATTCCCAGGATACCAGCGATACTCGAGACGCGAGTTGTTCTCTTGGCTGATGCGGCGCTGCCTTCACTCAGGCGGACATCACCAGTAGGACGGTCGATTACGAGGGCGGGCGCATCGGGAGACGAAGGCGAAGTGAAAGTATAAGAGTCGTTGGCGATCTTGACATTAATGTCGCGATAAGGCAACTTGGGGGTGTTGAGTTGCGCCATAGCTGAAGCTGGAAGTATTAGAAGAAGAGAGTTTGAAGGTTATAGTAAAGCCCGGGAATTAAGAGTGGCCAACTGGCGACTTGTTCACCCTTGACGGCTGCAAGAGATAGATAGTGAAATAAGAAAAAAAGGGACACGACGTGAGGGATGGGCTGAGTTGGTCTGGTATTGGATGGTTAGCTTGAATTGGCAGACGAGTTGATGAGGCCAGCGCAGCGAAGCTATAGCACAGCCACATGGTTAATCGTAATGACGGGATAGAATGGGACTTAAGGGGACCACTGTGGCTCAAGGCGGGACGCACGTCACAAGCCCAGAGCCATGGGATGAGGCTCGTGAGATGTAGAGGTACATGCCGCTCGCCGAAATCAGGGTCTCTGGATCAGTACAGCTACCGTGTAAACTTTGCGCAAGTGTACCGCTCCGAACTCCGTCTTCCCGCCTATTACAGTGGCACTGTGGGTGTCCCTCACCAAACCGGCCCTGCCTGACGTGTGCCTCGTGCCATTTGAGCCAGTCACGGCTCAGGACTAAAGAACCAAGGCAGTCACTTTACCTCCCCAAGTCCCATCCACGTCCGTCCCGTCTTAATCAAAGAAGCGAAGCCCCATCTCAAGACTCGCCTCTCATCTTCAGCCTCGATTTTTGCCTTGCATCTCACTATCGTCGCCAACCTTCTCGCCCTAAATCTCCCTTTTCCCTCGATTCGCTTGCGTCGCGCAATAACCCCGATACGATTTCCGGTCCGAGCGTCTCTCCACGCCGTTGTTCTAGGACACGTCCGATCCCTCAACGTCCAGGTCATACCGCCACTGCTGCTGCTACTATCACTCTTGATAGACGCTCTCCGTACCTCTTCATCTCGAAACCACATTCCCATCTCTCGTTATGGCCTCCCGACAACCTCCCGCTGGCGCCCGCGGCACCAACACCCGGTTCGCTCAGTTCAAGCTGGTTCTTCTAGGTATGTTACATGGTGTCGGCATTCCTTGCCTGGCCAGTGTCGGTTTCATGGCATATTTACTAACTTGTGACATAGGCGAGTCCGCTGTCGGAAAGGTATATCACAACGATAGTCTCTGATATGATGGTTTACTAATTTTTCAACCTCAGAGTTCAATAGTCTTGCGATTTGTCAAGGTATGAACTACTGGCGCCCACGTCATGGTATGAGACAGCAACTTACCAAGACCTTCTAGGACCAATTCGATTCCTATCGCGAGTCCACCATCGGTGCTGCCTTCTTGACCCAGACCATCTCTCTCGATGAGAACACTACCGTCAAGTTCGAGATCTGGGATACCGCCGGCCAGGAACGCTACAAGTCTCTTGCTCCCATGTACTACCGAAATGCCAACTGCGCCGTTGTCGTTTACGATATCACTCAATCTGTACGTTGACCAGATCTACAACCACCCTAGGACCGTGTTAATATTCCTCCAGGCATCACTAGACAAGGCAAAGGCTTGGGTCAAGGAGCTCCAACGCCAGGCGAATGAGAACATTGTCATTGCCCTCGCAGGAAATAAGCTGGATTTGGTCACTGAGCAACCCGATAAACGAGCCATTTCCACCGCCGATGCTGAGGCTTATGCCCGAGAGGCTGGCCTCCTCTTCTTCGAGACTTCTGCCAAGACCGCCGAGAACGTCCAAACTCTTTTCACAGCCATAGCTAAGAAGCTGCCCCTGGACCAAGCTGGTCCACGACATGCTCGACCGGGCCAACGACCAGGTGTCAGCCTGGCTCCCGAGAACTCCAACACTAACGTCAGCGGCCCTTGCAGCTGCTAAGCAGGTATTGAGTTTGAAGCATCAGGTTTAGAGTCCACTTTTCGTTACGCCCACGCACATATCACAGAGGCCTCAGCGTGGATCCAGCACGACGAGTTGTCCGAGATTACGGACTCTGAGGTAATGCATGAGCTGGAGCGCGTCATATAATTTATCGGAGTCCTTGGGTTTGGAGGGATCAGTTCAGTCCATACTTTTTTAATACCGAACTTGAATTTTGTTGCTGGTAGTTTGAGTGGCCTGGATGCTAGACTGTGCCGTAGCCTGGCACTTCAGCATGCCAGAGAATACGGGGTGGCTAGGGGAGGCATATAACCCACAGACCTCGATCACAAGCGACTTATATGTCTGAAGGTTTCTTATTCCCATCGGTGGCTTATGAGATGGACAAGCAGGAGAGTATGGACGAGCCGCTCTATAGTTTCTTTTTCTTTACAGCTTCTGAATAGATGGCTGCTATTAGATGAGTTATGGGACCATGTTAAGATCTTGTGCTGCATGTGATCAAGCAACGAGTATTTAATGTTCAGTCATGAGTATGTGAGGCCAGAATATGAAAACATATGTTGAGATTATTACAATTCTTTAGAGCCAACAGAACATGACTTCATGTTTCGATCTCCTGATCACATGTAATCAATCATAAGGTATCAACAATAGGCTCATCGATCAAGGAACTGAGAGAAAAGTGGCTGATCTTGAAGTACGTTAGTAGAATGGGCTTATGAGATAAACTTGCTCTTTTTGGTACGGAAATGAATGTTTTTGTTTCATCATAGTCGCTGGTTGATGAGGCAGTTGCGTCACCCGGTTCCTGCCGCTTGCTTAACATTTAGCTCCATACAAAACCGGGAGCTGGGCTTTTGCCGAACTTTTACCCTGAGCGTTTTTGAAGCAGCTCTCAACTCCATCTAACCGAATTTCAACTGCATCGCGAACTGCGCCCTGTTCGCCATTGCAATCCCTCATGTTGCGAACTTCGCTTCAGTCTGTGAGGGCATTTGGCGGCAGGCCCGTTGTGGCCGCTGCTGCCCGCCAATGGCCCATTGCGGCTACACGGCGTGCCGGCCTTGCTGGTCAGGTAAGCTTTCTTTACAACGTCACAGCTCATGTTAGTTGCTTCAACTAGAACTAAACTAACCGCGACGATGGCTTCAGCGTTTCTACTCCGTCGAAAAGAAGCCCGAGCTCGATCCTGCTAAGCAACCTGTTTTGCCAGCTTCCCAAACCGTTACTTCCGAGAGAATCCACGAGACCACCATTGACGATGTCGGCGAGACCAAGGCCGCTACCACAGACGTCCCTTTGACACCTCCCCCCCCTCCTCCTGCGCCTGCGCCTGCGCCTATCAAGAAGAAGGGTTTCTTCCGAAGGCTCAAGAACTTTGTCTTCACCCTGCTTGTTCTTGGCGTCGTTGGTTTCGCTGGAGGTGTCTGGTACTCTCGCGTGAGCGACAACTTCCACGATTTCTTTACCGAATATGTCCCCTTTGGCGAGCAGGCTGTTCTTTACCTCGAGGAGATGGACTACAAGAAGCGATTCCCTAACATCACCGGCCGATCAAAGACTCAAGCCACCGAGGATGCTGTTCGAGTTCCTGCCCAAAGCGGCGCTTCCTGGAGAGTAGCAGATGCAGGCCAAGCCGGACGTCACTCAAGTGCTGGCCCGGTTTCTGCCGCTACTAAGAAGGTCGAGGAGGCTGTTAAACCCAAGGCCAAGGCCAAGGCTAAGGCTCCAGTCGAAGCCAAGCCTGTTGCAAAGGCTGTCGAGGAGCCTGCTCCTGCCCCCAGGTCTGACTCTGGTTTCAAAGCACCAGAAGTTAATGAGCCTTCCAAGATGCCTCCTCTGAAGCCAATTGACCTTCTATCGCTCGAGGCTGCAAGGGAGCCTGTTGTTCAAGACCTCGTCCACATGGTGAACGACCTTATCCTAGTCATCAACGCCGATAATGCTCATGGCAAGTATGGCACCTCTGTTAGCAAGGCTAAGGATGAGATCGCCAAGGTCGGAGGTAAGCTCAAGGCCATGAAGGGTGAGTTTGAGAAGAAGGCTGCCCGACAAGTCAGGGAGAAGATTGAGGAGTTCGACAAGGCTGCTACAGATCTAATTGATCGTGTTGAGAACACCATGATCAGCCAGGAGAACCAATGGCGACAAGACTTTGAGCAGGAGATGAAGAAGGTCCGAGAAAACTATGAGGACCGTGTTAATGTGCTTCTTGAGCGTGAGAAGAAAGTCAACGAGGAGAAACTGCAGAATCAGCTCGCGCAGCAGGCTCTGGCCCTTAAGAAGGAATTCACCAAGGATGTTGAGAAGCAAGTTGAGCAGGAGCGTGAGAGCCGACTAGGCAAGCTGAACGCCCTGTCGTCTGCCGTGTCAGACCTTGAGAAGCTTACCACAGGCTGGAACGATGTTATTGACACCAACCTCAAGACTCAGCAGCTGCACGTCGCCGTTGAGGCTGTCCGAGCCAGCTTGGAGGATGACCACCACCCTCGTCCTTTTATTCGCGAGCTCGTTGCTCTCCGGGAAATTGCTTCGGATGATCCTGTTGTCAATGCCGCCATCGCCTCTGTTAACCCATCCGCTTACCAACGCGGTATCTCTACTACCTCTCAGCTGATCGATCGTTTCCGTCGAGTGGCCAATGAGGTCCGAAAGGCCTCATTGTTACCCGATGAGGCCGGTGTTGCCAGCCACGCTTCCAGCTGGGTTCTTAGCCACGTTATGTTCAAGAAGCAAGGACTTGCGGACGGTAACGATGTTGAGAGCATTCTCACCCGAACCCAAACATACCTTGAGGAGGGTGACCTGGACTCTGCGGCGCGAGAAATTAACGGTTTGGATGGATGGGCCAAGACCCTGAGTAAGGATTGGCTCGGTGAGGTTCGCAAGGTGTTGGAGGTTCAGCAGGCTCTCGATGTGAGTTTTATCGTTTCCCATATGTTTATCTTTGCTTTGCTAACATGATCATAGGTGATTGCCACAGAAGCCCGTCTTCAGAGTCTCCGTGTGGATTAAACAAAAAAGGGATGTCTCATTTGTTGTGTATAATTGGACCCAGGCGCCGTCGTGTCTAGAGAGAGGCTGGATAGCCGTGTATTAGATAGCAATAGACGATGAGGGCGTGGTTACCATCTTTGACTACTTATTATTGCTAATACTCACGTCCTGTTGCATGATTCTTGATCATTTGTTGATTAATACAGCACCAGAACTGAACAACTCGGTGATATCCAGTAAAAATCAAAACTGCAGAGACCGAAGTCGACATTGTTGACTTGTTACGATCATATCAAATTGTTGTTTTTGGTTGTATATGAATTGTTGGTCAATATGACTGGAATATGTTGAATAGGACAAAAGGCTTAGGTAGTAGTTAGAAGTACCACACAAGTTACACATGACGGCCTAATAACCTATTCTACTCCGTTTCTTCACCTTCACATTTAACTCAAGCCTTGGTTCTTCCGAGGCCTATGTTTATGCACTCATATCTCAGCGCGACCTAACAACACTTGTTCAAACTGCCTATTGAATAAAAAACTCAGTTCCCTGCTGAGAAATCAATCAACGCACTCAATGGCGGCACGTAGGGGCATTAGCACCGTGTCCCGCGACTACAATGAAGCTCTCCGTCTGCTTTCGACACTTTACTCAAATCGCCAAGCCACGAATCTTTTTGACAAATCAATCGCCTCAAATTCCTCATCTGTACCAACAAAGGATCCCAATGCTTTAGCTATTCCTGAGATGCGCGAATGGCTCCGACGTGCTGGGTATGAACCAAAGGATCTTGCACGTCTGAGACACATCCACATAGCCGGCACCAAAGGCAAAGGCTCTGTAAGCGCATTTGCGACGAGCATGCTACGAGAGTACGAGATTGTTGGGACTTATACGAGCCCACATCTCGTGAGCCCGCGCGAGCGCATTGCTATTCAAGGAGAGCCGGTTTCGCAGAGCCTCTTCGCTGCTGCTTTCTTTGACCTCTGGGAAAGTCTGTCTGAAGCTGCTAAGAAGGATGGCAAAAGCCTCACCGAGTCTGAAGGACCTGGCTCAAAGCCATTCTTCTTCCGCTTCATGACACTCCTTGCTTGGCATATCTTCCTGAGTCAAAAGGTCGATAGCGTTGTTCTTGAATGCGGTATCGGCGGAGAGTATGACGCTACAAATGTGGTGCCCCCAGAGGCTGTTTCTGCTGCGGTCATCACGCAGCTGGGTATAGACCATGTCGCGATGCTAGGCGACACGGTTGAGAAGATCGCATGGCACAAAGCCGGCATTCTCAAGCCAGGTGTGCGTGGTTTCGTCCGACGAATGGACGAGAAGCCTGGTGTGATGCAAGTGCTTCGACAGCGGGCAGCAGAAAAGGGGGCTGAGCTCGTCGAGTTGGATGACGCCAGGATCGAACTATGGGGAGGTGTGCATGGAAGACTGCAAGGTGACTTTCAAAAGTATAACCAAGCTCTTGCTGTCTGTGCTGTACGACAACATCTAGGCATGAGTTTTGAGCCCAAGGACTTTTTTAAGAACATTCAAAGAAAGATGTGTGTAGGGCTCGAGCACGCAAGTCTCAGGGGGCGCTGCGAGATCATCCAGCAGGGCCACATTGGCTGGTACCTGGACGGTGCGCATACGACGGATAGCATGTATGAGGTCGCAAAATGGTTCGCTTCGAATGTTGAAACCTTTGAATCCGCAATTCTGGTTTTCAACCAGCAGGAGAGAGATGCAACAAAACTACTGACAATATTGCTTGACACTGTTCAAGAGTTTACTGGCAGAACAAACATATTCAGCCATGCGTTCTTTACAAGGAACGATCAGGAGCGGCCTTCAACGGATGAAGAAGCCAGAGATCTGAGTGTGCAGACACGTGTGGCAGAGATGATGGCTGAGAGAGCAGCTGATTGTGAGGTCAACACATTTGATAATATCCAGGACGCTGTAGCTGAGGCTAGAAAAGTTGCAGGAGTTTATCATAGGGTTTTGGCTACAGGGAGCATGTATCTTGTAGGGGGTGTACTCCAAGTATTGGAGCCTGAAGGTCTATTGTAAATACTATTTACCTGATGTGCCCACCAAATCATAGAGCATCAGCCTTTTCCAGTATTCCCAAGGCACCACCAACGAGATGCAAGCTTCCCGTGATAAATGCCTGCACAGTCTCTCCCTCTGGGAGATCCTCTCCAAGATGACGGGCGTAGTGAATGGATTGCTCGATTGTGGGCATGACTTTTACCGTGGCCGTGGGATCAAGGGACATCCACTTATCCGCAAACCGTTGCTGAACAGTCATCTTATCAATCTCAGCAGGGTCGAATTGACGGTTGACAAAGTCACGCTTGTAGCCAGATGCTGCATAGGTGACGTTTGTGCAAAAGATGACGTGGTCAAATGCTGGTCGTCCTTCTCGTCTGGTCGCTTTGAAGACGGACTCGAGAAAGTCGACAGCTTCGGAGCGGCCTTGTTGATTGAAGATCATGACTCGTGGTCCATTGCTGAACCTATTAGTTGAATGGCGGGATAGAGTGGTATGATGACTTACCGGCCAGTAGTTTCGTCCTTGAACCATTTGGACGACATCTTGAGACTATCAGAAGTATGGGCGCCATCGACGTGCCATGTCACCTTGTCTTCCTTCTTGACCTCACACCGACCTCTCCACACAACCTTTTCAAGTCCGTCTACAAACTCCTTGGGTAAAGTATCCGTCCGAGGTGGTAGAGAAATGCCCACTTTCTCCAGTGCTGTTTCGGCGAGTGCGATAGCCAGTGTAGCATTACGCTTCTGAAATGTTGCATCTGGTCGAATTTGAACACTGCTAAGCCGGGGGTCGACTGGTAGAACTTTCAGGTCGACGTTCTTTTCCTCAGCTCTTTTCCTCAGAACTTCTTCTGCGTCTGGGACCTGTTCGATTGTAAAAGCTGCGCTTCCTGTCTTCATAATACCCGCCTTGTGCCATGCAATCTTGGCCACTGTATCACCAAGAGCAAAGACATGATCAATGCCTAGTGTACTAATCCCAGATACTATAGGCTTCTCTACAACGTTTGTGGCATCAAATTCACCACCAATACCAGTCTCATATATAGCGACATCTATGCCCTCTTGGAGAAAGACGTGCCAACTCATCAAAGTCAGATATCGCGCATAAATAGGTCGAGGAGCCATGAGTTTGTTTGCGTCATCTTTCGGTGCTGATTCAAGACGGTCCCACACTTCAAAGAAATATTTTGCGAACAGGTCTTCTGAAATGGGTGTTGAGTTGATGCGTATGCGCTCACGAACAGCGATGAGATGAGGTGATGTGAAGAAGCCCGTCTTGCGGGGTGTGCCCCTTGTGTGCTGATACTGAGAGAGGATAGAGTCGACAAAGGCGCAGGTACTACCTTTGCCTTTTGTGCCGGCTACATGTACAATGTTTAGGCGATTGAGATCGGATGGCTGTCATTTAGTCAGTCTCATGCATATGTCCTCGTGCTCAAGATCTTACAGTATATCCAATACGATGAAGATATGTCTGCATTTCCTTGATAGAGACAGCATCAGGCCTTATCCCCGCCTTCCGACGAGCCTCGACGACATCAAAAGGTGTCTGGAGTGAGTTGAGCGCATCAATGGCATCCTAAAACAAGTCAGCTGGCCATTCTTCTTGTCCTTTTCTCGAAGCAGTGTGAGAGGTTGCGTACGTTATAGGACCGTCCTTTTGAGGCCATGGTGGATGCCGCGACTCGTTGTACCGCTATGAAACTGAAAGGTTGCCTAAAAGCCCGCCAAGAGACATAACGCATTGAAATCGGCAGCGCCTTGAGATGTTTAAGTGAAGGTGTCCTGTCTTTTGGTGGTGGTAACTCGCAGAAAGCTCGGGTAATCCACCCGTGAAATCAATGTCGTGCTATAGACGAAGTATTCGAGCTCAGTGACCGCACCATGAGTAACTAATATCGAAAGAGCCGGTACAAGTCAGAGATATCAGATATAAACCTTTTTCGACTTGCTGAATAGAAATTTGGGCTCATGAAGCGATGTCGCCGCACACCAGACTCGGGGTGTATCCCGCTAAGAACTTAGTGATAGGACGGGCTTCGGAAGGCGAATGCCGCTGATTGCATTAATAGGTAGCCATGGTCAAGGGAAGTTCATATAAATTTCTTCAGGAAATAGAGGAATAGATATTTGCTATTATTTTGACCGTTGAACTTTAGTCATAATCGTTGTCACTTCACCAACAAACTCCTAACAACCCCAAGACTAACACGCATTGTCCTTCGGCAAACCTCCGGATATCGGAGCCATCAACCGATATTGTATTTCTCAATAAGACCTTCTCTCTTCAACACCCACTTGTTCATGCCTTCTTGCAGTGCTTCAGTAAAGTCACTATCGAATCTCTTTCCGCTATCAGCCCATGCCAACCTTGCTCGCCAAGTGAGCCACTTCTCTGCCATGACACCTTCAGGCGCTCTGATGATGCCCGTGGCCAAGTCGACAACATGATGCTTCTCAGACGGCCTTCGACAAGCGTGAGAGAAGAAGACAGTGGCGCCGCAAGTGCCGCAGAAGGATCTTACGACATCGTCCGACGATTTGAACGTCTTGGCGCTCCCAATGAGTAGACCATCCTCGATACGGGGCTCGCATATGGATAAAGGGATAAACGTCCATCCCACAACGTTAGTCCCATTGTGAAGCCGGCAATCATCGCATGCGTCAAAAGTCGCAAGCCACTTGGTATCATCTCTGTGCGAAACGAACTGCGAATAGAATTTATCCTCCTTGATCTCCTGGCTCGGGCGGGGAATAGTGAAAGAGATGCCTTTGCACTCGCATTCCACACGAAGGCGCTCTTCCCCGCCCTTCCCAACTTCCACATGAGATTCAACGATCTTTGCCTCAGGGCTATTCTCAGCAGGGTTCCAGTCAATGAACTCTTTTCCGCCAGTATGTGTCAGGGCTTCGGCAATCCCTCGGTCCTTTGTAGAGTTGCTGAAGATGTGCTTGCGAACATCGAAGAAGTCTGAAGCGTTCACGAATGTTGATGAAGCAACTGTCCAGAACTCGTTCTCAGGCGGCCCCATTGAAGCAATGTGACAACCACACGTTGAGCAAAAGTTCCATGTTCCGATCTTCTTCCCAATGGCGTAGCTGGTCATATTGCTTCTGGAGGATGGTTCCACGAACTTGGGCTTCACCCCGTCCGGCAGCGGAGCATGGAAAATGCATGGCGCACCAGAGCCATACCTGCAGAGGCTGCAATGGCAGAGATGTGTGAGTAGAGGTAGTTTCGAAACGGGCACATCGATCGTGTAATGGACAGCGCCGCAATAGCACTTGGCTTCAAGAGTTTTGCTTTCATTGCATTCTGCCATGGCTGAGACAGTCACAGACAGGCTGAGATGTGTAGGTTAGTAGCCAAAACTGTTCTGTCGGTGATCAATGTGTAGTGAACGGAGTTGCAGGTCAGCCCACGGCGAAAGACCTTGTGCTTTTATACAGCGCTCTGCTTGTGGGGATCACTCAATAGGCAGGTACCGCCATACGTCGTCTTATAATTCCCTTGGATGTATAGAAGTGCATCTGGCGTGTACAAAGGTTGGTCGGAGGGATTCAGGCCGATGTATTATATGTTTGCCCACGTTTGAACATGTTGATGTTCTATCAGAACTCACAACCAAAGATGGCATTTTCTGTTAATACCATAACAGACAGCGTGAAGTTTGCCTCACTACTATCTTGGCGCACCCCGCGATTAGAGCCTTATGACCTGAAGGGCGTGCATAACGCTAGGGCTGAGATCGTTTGGTCGTTATCGATCTACGGTATCGCCATGGCTTGAATTGGCGGCTGGATGTTGTTGTGGGGCCAACGGTAACAAGTCAGATTGATAGCCGAAGTTAGCCCGCCAATCTATCTTCAAAGGTTGGTTCCTACCTTTTTTTTTCTTAGTGGAGAGGCTGGACCATTCATCATGACTTCAACGCCTCACAAACTTTCTTCCTCTGCTATCTCCTTCTATCGCAGCGTCATAAAAGTTGCCCCGGATTAGAAAAAAAATGTCAGAGGTCTCGGACTTTGATAAGCAACAAAGGCAGCTGGAAGATGATCTTAGCAAGCTGCAGAATGCCCTGAAGCATTGGCAGACCTGGCATGTTGAGTATGAGATGCTCAAAGAAGAGGTCGAAGCCGTTTGCAAGAACGGCGAGACAGAGCTCAAGACTATTCATGCCGGATTCGAAGGTGAACTTTTGAAAGATCGTGAGCTTGATGAGATCTTTGGTGAGAGGACACATCGATCTGGTGAACAGATTGTGAATATTCTTGACCGACGCATCGATTACGTTACCACGAATATCACATCGCTCCAAAAACAGATCAGCGCTGCTGAGACCAAGCTTGACGAAAGTCAACCCGACTTCACTGAAGACGACGGCCTGCCTATCACAGAAATCATCGAGCAGCTTGACGATGACGACAACGTTATCTCTTACAAGCTCAACCAGCCTGATACTGCCTTACCCAAGATTCAAGATGCCCTTCAGAAAGCCGGTATCGAAGATCTCGAAGATGGCAACTCAGCCTCAAAACCCGAGATCTCTAAACAAAAGGAAGCAGAACACTCCCAAGAAAGTCCTTCCCAGCATACAGAGCTTGAATCCACGACTCTAGCACCATCCGCCACTAAAGGTGTGGTGTTTGCTGCAGATACTAAAATGCAAGACGGCCCAAAGCCCCAAGTCTCGCGGAATGCTAAGCGTGTTGAAGAGATCATGAACCATGCCAAGGAGCAGGAGAAGATCAGCAACGAGCATGCGTACATCCCCGAGGATGAGGATGAGGAGGACGCGGAGCTGCGGCGGCAGATGCTCGAATACTCGGGAGAAGTTGGTGCTGTTGTCGCCGAGCTGCAGCTCGAAGAGGGAGACAGCGACGACTACGAATACGAGTACAGTGATGAAGGTTTTGAGGATGATGACGACGGCCAGGAAGACAAATATGGTCGGTATACTGGCCGCGTTGTGACGGACGATTACCGTCAAAGAATGCTGGAATTAGAGAAGAAGCTGGGTATCAAATCGCGCTTCACCGAGCAGCCAGAAGATAGGGATGGTGACGCAAGTTCGGATGACGAAGAAGGCATTGGCCGTATCGTAGTCAAACCAGCCTCGGCGACAACAGCGTCATCATCCTCAGCCTCGAAACTTGTGCCCGCCAAGTCAAATATCAAAGAGAAGCAACCAGAACAATCCAGTGGCAAGAAGGGCGTTCGCTTTGCTGCCAATCTGGACATCGCACCGGAGAACGAGCCCACTGTCCTTCCAGTGAGAGAAGCTCCCGTGAAGGAAAAAGAACCGATTGTGGAACCCTTGAGCGACAAAATCGTTGAGCGCTCCAGCACTGCCAAGGCTCCCGATCCATCTGAAATCAAGTCAACACGCAAACCATCGAGATTCAAGAAGGCCAGAGATACTGTTCCACCGGGCCCTCTTGATATTCCCGCCAAGTTCCTCGATCAAGACAGGCCCACGGCACCTACGGGTCCTGAAGGAACAACACTCGCTGACACATTAGTTGAGCGCGAATCCATACGCGCTGCTCCTCACCCACCGGATGAATTCGATGATGAGTTGATATATCAAGAAGTCGCTGATGAGCACCACAAGCTTCGAAAGAAGTTCATCCAACGAGAAGGTGGGTTCCTCAAGGAAGATGAATCTCCAATTCAACCCTTGGAGGAGCAAGATGGTGGACGGGAGCCAGTCAGTCGTTTCAAGGCTGCCAGGCTCTCAAAGTACTAAAGTAAACAAAGCGAAACAAAACAAAGGACAAAAGTAAGGCACTTAAATGGAATGAGCTGCCGGGGGAACGAAGAGTCGAGAAGAATCGATTTGTTGCCCGTCTTATGCTACTCCCGAGTTGCCTTTCGTGAAGTGGCATCAGTGATTGCTACAGTGCTACTACACTATAATACGCGTCGTTTATGCTAACCATGAGGATAACTTTTAACATTTGATTTGGCTATTGACTATTGTTTGACTATTGACTCTGAAGGGGGTCACACGGAACGCTTTTCAAATCTGACAATTGATGTGTTGCAGCCTTTAATCTGCTTCTACGTTACTAGCGGTTCCAATAGTAAATTCGGACGGGCTCTCTGAAACCTTTACCTTAAGCTTGTGGTTTTGGTTATTCGTTTCACCCTTTACATTATATTTTAGCTATCACACCTTGTTCATTAGTGCCTTGATGAAGATATGTACATAGAATAATCCATTCATGTGCCTATTCTTATCTGTTGTCCCTCTGCCTCGGACCCTCGGTGGCTTTAGTTATGAGCGTCCTCTTAATTATCCCTGTTTGTCGTATTGCCTATTCAAGCTTTTGAGGCTTGCATAAATGTGGAATGCGGGCGCGTTCCGGAAGTTCGGCACCGCATCTTTCGGCAGTGACCGTGCCGGTTAATGGCTTGCTGACGGCCCTGGACCCTATCATTGGCGAATGGCGTGCCTGGACGAAACCATACTCGGCGTGGGTTTGCCGTACGTCTTATACATAGTATCCCTAATAGCATGGACCCTGGCCAGAACACTCTCCCTACGGCTGCTCCCGCAGACAATATCTCAGGCCTGGACGGCTACTCGGCATCTCAAGCGTACGTCACAGGAGTCTCTGGTCAAAGCTGAATTGAAAGGAACCATACGGTGAGGCCAATCAAGAATGTAGACAAAGACAGGAGCTGCTGGGACTGAGTGGCTGAGTTTCAGTGAACAGAGAGGCCTCTCAGTTGGCTCAAGGTACTTAAGAGCTCGTTCCTAGCTGTGGGATCACTGACTTGCTACATACAACACACAGACAGACAGCACTAAACAAACAAACAACTCTACTTCATCATCCACTACCTACTCTCTTCTTACCCAGATCCATCACTCGGTCTCCCTCGAATCATTCAAGATGCCCGCCGCCATGGAGCCCACTCAGCAAGCCCCCATGACCTCTGATAACGGAGACATCGTCACACAGCAGCCTGTAAGTGTTATCGTACGCAAAGGCTCCATGCTTCACTGACTAACACGTATGAAGAGCGCTGAGCCTCAGCCTGATATGACCATGCGTGGTGGTGAGGAGGCTGGCTGTGAGATCTGCTGTGGTCTCTGCGCCTGCGACGAGGGATGCTGCTAAGCAGACAGCCTCGCGTAGAGTGTTCTGAGTAGAATAGACTGCTCGGGATGGAGTTTGGGTAGCATTTTTATCGTGATTTATTAGCAGCTCCCGCCTGGATGGTTGATCCAGTGGAGCAATAAACTACATTCAAACAACACCTGATTACTTCGTGACATAGGCTTTATGTCTAATAGTAACCTAAACCAAAGATCTGGGACAGATTCTTCATGTCAGTTTGGCCAAACCCTTTTGAGGGATCCGTCATGCACACAATATGTATCCACCTCCGCCCAAAGGCTCATAGTACGAAGATCATGGCATCAAACTCATGGACTCTCGAGTCAGCCATTCTTCTACCAGAGCGATTTGTTACTCATGATCAATCGTGGTTATGATGCTTCTTTCAAATGTACCAACGTCCAGGCGTGTCAATAGATAGGCATTTATACAGAGTCTTAGATAAGAATACAATATTGTGATCAACTACAGAATAAAAAGCAAACTAAATTTCAAAATTTGTACCACGATGTATATGTGTGCTATGTCGCTCAGGAACCTAACCATGCTGGCTTGTTCATACTGGCTAAGTAGAACAAGTTCATCATCAGGTAGCCGTTCGTATGGGTCTGACAACCCATCACACATCTCAATTGTGCTCGAGGGCTCTTTAACAAGCAAACTTTTGCTTGGCGCATGCTTCATAGTGTCTTGTCCTCCTTCGTCTTCATCTTCTTCCTTTCTCTAGGCGTCTTTGGCATCATGTTCCTTCATCTGATCTCTTATATGATTCGGGACGTTCCTGATGTCGATGATTTTTAGGCCTTGTTTCTTTTTATTAGTATCCGGGGTACCAAACGTCGCCTCCATATCAGCCTTCTTATTCTCATCGCCCTCATTGGTAGTCGCCAGTGATGGCGACCGTCCTTGAGTGGAAGAGTTTCTGCGAGGTGTCGACGGAGCTGGAGCTGGAGCTGGAGCTGGCCGTCTCGGCTGCATAAAGACACTGGGTGGTGGCTTATTCCGTCTTCGCGTCGTCAGTCGTTCCTGTTGTTTCCTGCTGAACTCTGCAAACTCCTCTGGGGTAGGGCCGGAGTTCACACGCGCTGGTGTGGCCGTTCTTGTTCGGTTATAAAGCGTTGGGTTGCCCCCTGGAAGTGCCAGTCCACCTACAATCACTGGGCGAATATTCGGTTGTTGTTGCGTATTGCTGGGGCCCGCTACGATGGGTGATGTGTTCGCAGTGGGAGTATTTTGCCGAGCTGCGGCTGTGCTTGGGGCTGCTGGTGTTTGAGTGAGCGTTATTTGAACTAGTGAGGGTCGGCTTTCAGCTTGCAAGGTAGATGCAGAGGCGCTTTGAGGTTGCTGTGAGTTTGGTTCAGACTGTTCCTCTGGCAGAGTCGTTGCTGTTGGTCTTTCGACTTCATGATCCCTGATGGATGACTCCTGTATGTTAGTCTCATGAGTATTGGTTTTCTGACTGTTTGTGATATGGGCATCAGTATCCTTATGACTAGAGTCCTTGTCTGAAGGAGACACTGCCTGGTTTGAAGCATCATTCCCGACAACAATACCGACACCAGCTGCGAGGTCTAATAGACGGAGAGCCGCCTCGTCCATCTCCGCTATATCAGCTCTGCTGTCTTCATTTACCTGGGAGGGCGTTTGCTGTAATGATCCTGGCTGTGTGTGGGGTTGCCCTTGCGACACCGTGGGAGTGTTCTTACAAGCTCGCAGCATCGGTTTCGCAATCTTTCGGGTAGCGCGCTGTTCAGCAGTAGCTTCTTTCACTGGATCAATGGGATCGTTGTCCGTGATGCCTGGCTTGTAGGGCTTATCTTTGTCTGTCTGCGGTTCTGCTGCTGCTGCCTTGGCTCTAGCACGAAAATTCTCTAGAAGCCGTCCTGGAGACAAGGGAGGCTGAATGGGAGAACTGGGAGAAATGGAAGAAATGGGAGACAGGGGAGAAACGGGAGAAAAGGGAGAAACGGGAGGTTGAGAGGGCCAGACAAAAGGTTGAGTGGGAGCAGTAGGAGGTTGAGGGGGACTAGGTTGAGGGGGGAAAATACAAGGTTGAGTGGGAGCAATGGGAGGTTGAACATCTTGTGAGGGTGTGCCATCGCCGTCTTCCTCTCTGTCTTCCATCAACGCGTCTATAAGCTCCTCTGCAAGCTCTTTTTCCTCCTCTTCAGTCATCCCTATCTTGATAGTCGGGGCCCCTGGCTGTTGAAATGTGAAGGCTGGAATGGCCGGCGGTGCAGGCAACTGCATATCCTGCATAGCAGTATCTTTGATGTTTGACTGTTGATCTTCGTCTTCTATATCTCTCATCGGGCTCGTTGACGGCTCTCTTTCTGGTTCCATGTCTTCCCAGGCGTCTTCGTCATCTTCTTCCATAAGGAACTTAAACACATCCTGAGATGCTTCTCCTATTCTTCTGGTTTCATCTTCATTTGGCCGCCAGACATCGGTCATTTGGGCGTCATTCGTTGCAGATACTGGGAAGGGCTGCTCCTCCAGACCGGCGGCACCATGCTCGGAAGTCCCCATCTCTTCGTCACTGTCCTGAGGGTTTGTTTTTGCGGCTTGTTTTTCTGGTCCTCCGTCCAAGCGTTCTTGTTGGTTTTCGACCACATCATGGCCATCGAGGCTATCCCCATATATATCCTCGTCAGATTCGCTGCACACGCGCTGGGCAGATGCTGCGATTAGCTCATCGAGCGAAGTATCTATGTCTTCAATCTCCCGAAGTGTGGGAATGGAGCTAGGACCAGGAGAGCTGGGTTGCTGCCCTATACTTGTTCCCTCAGATACAGAGTGGCCCAGCGTGTTTGAAAGGAACGGTTTCAAAGCAGGGGGCAAGGTTGTCTCATCTTCATTGACTTTGACGAGCGGTGTCTCTTTAGAAGCATTTTCACAAGCTTCAATCAAAGCTTTAGTCAAAGCCTGTTGGCTCCTCTCAGTGCTTGGGTCTACTGTAGTAGATTGGTGTCCCGTGAGAGGCTCATTCTCGGCGGATACGACGCTTGAAAGGGGCTCCGGGAAGGTCTGAAGAGGGGCTTCGCCTTGGACATCTTGGGCTCCCGAGGCTGTATCTATGGAGTCGCTAGTCAAAACATTAGAGACAGATGGATTCTCTGGAGTAGCTTGACGATCAGTAGTCTCTGGCAAAGGAAGCTCAGGGGTAAGTAGATCTCTAACGACAGGACTTGCTTGAATATCATGTTTCGAGTCGTCATGTGACATGGGCGTGGAGGGAATAGGGACGCTGGCGGAAGTGGTAGTAGTATCAATGACTTGCTGGGTCTTCAGAGACTTGAATGAACTAGGAGGTTGTTGGTCCAACAGCCCCATCGACATCTCGTACATCTTCGCTCTTTTGTCTTCATACCTTTCGGTATTGGCCTTTTTACTACTTCTGGTAGTAACACCCTTTCGTGATTGGCGACTTGTATCCTTATGCCCCTTTGACTTTGCGCCGCCAATAGAAGACTTGGGCGCCCGCTCCTTTCGCCTCGAAGTCCCTACAGCAGACAGTCGTGCAGACCTCATGAAAGCTGAAACAGATGAGTGGATGGCGGTGGGACGGTCGAGGCCCGTAGCATGAGTCTGTACGGGCTCAGGTTCAGCATCAGTTGTAGGCTCAGGCGAGTCAGGAAGTGCGATAGAGGCGGGACGAGGTGAGGGTATAGCAGAGTGTTCTGGCTCCTTTACTTCGTCTTCAGCTCTATTTTCTTGGATAATGAGCAAGTTGGCGTTGACTCTTGGCTCGGGGTCCTCGAGGGCCTTCCCCTTGTCGAGAGACGCTTGTGTGTCCGTATCCTCAGGCGAAGCTGGATCTGGACTCGGCTCTGAGACTAAAAGCTCTGGCACAACTACTGAGGCCTCGGGCTCTTCTTGGACGGGGGTGTCCACCGGGTCAGTCTGTACACCCTGACTGACATACGATCGGGGTGGCAGCTCTAAGGGCTTTGCCTCCATGCCACGGCTAGCAAGATCTGTTGGCTCCGTTTGCGTGCTCGCATTCTTGACCACAGTACGTCTCGGTCCTAGGGTTTTGTACCATCCTTCTTCCCAGGCTCTTTTGATGTCTTGTCCTCTCGGAATATGTCTTGTATCAGCAGGAGCCGGGACTGGTAGAGGAGGACGGGCTGGAGGAGTCGGCGTAGGAGGAGATCCTGGTGTAGGAGGGGGTCCCGGTGCAGGAGGAGGAGAAGGTCCCGGCGGAGGAGGAGGAGATCCTGGTGTAGTTGGATGTCCCAGTACAGTCAAAGTTCCCAGTACAGTTAGAGGTCCCATTATAGTCAAAGGTCCTGGTATAGTTGAAGGCCCTGCTGTAGTTGAAGATCCCGGTGTAGTTGAAGGTCCCGGGGCAGGCTCATGGGCCGGAGGCAGAGATACGGGGCCGCCGGCTCTAAAACTTCCAGCTAATGTCGCCTCGCCAGGCCTGGAAGCATCAAGCAGTCTAGGGCGATTCAGTTCTCGGAGGCGTTGACGGTTTATTAGCCCTCTTGATTGAAGGCCTTCCCAGACTAAGCCAGTCCTTTCATTCTCGATTCTCCTTCTCTCATTCGCTATTCTCAATCTCTGGTTTTCTGCCTCAGCAATCCGATTCTGCTCGTTGAGGACTTGAGCTTGTCTCGTGGTATTGTCCTCCTCGACCCGCTGTCTCATCCGCTGTTCTGCACCAGTATGGCTGGGTTGGATGCCGGTTATGTTTCCGTCTGGTGCGTCATTATTTCTAAATTCAGCACCTGTGATCTCGGATAGTTCGTCTTGTGTAGAAATGAGATATTCTCTCACCATTTCCATCGCTTGACAAGCCATAGATTTGATCATGGCAAGGGTTGTAAGGATGCTCGGCATCGTAAGATACTCCCAAACAGTCCACACTGGCCAGAAGAATGGCCAGAGGAGGCTTTTGAGTACATCCCGAAGAAAAAAGATGAACATAGGGACGACGAGAGTGATTAGTACGGCCAAGCTGACAAGGCAGTCGGCGAGGAGGATTGTCATGGGCACAAGGACGATGCCCATCGTCTTGAGGACCTTGTAAAGAACGTAGATAGTGGTGAGGGCAATAATGCAGTGTTTGGTGTCAAAAGGCTTGCCTGGGGTGAAAATAGAATCCCACAGCCAATCCCAGAGCCAGCTAGGATCTGATTCGCGTGCCATGTTGTTGGTTCGTGTCAAGGGAGTGGCTAAGAAGTCACAAAGGTTAGTTCCCTTAAGTTATGGTGACTTCGTGTAAGTATAGAGTATAGTATAGTATAGTATAATATAGTATCAGGAGCGTATGAATGTTGTTGTGGATGTGTATAGAAGTGAGCGAAAGGTTTATGAACTCACTGGATAATGATGCGTGGGCAATGGTTTATGATATAGTACTGAACGAATCTTTTTGAGAAGAAGAATTTGAAGAGTCATAGAGTTCTTTGGCGAATTTATTGTTACTCTCAGTATTCTTTTGTTGTGAATAAAGTCCTTGGAGGTGGCCAGGCAGATGCTGGCAGTGTTCAACCACAAAACAGTCACTGAACAAACACTGGCGAACACTGACAAAAAAGGTGAAATCTCTTTCAGTCACTGGGGTGTGTTGGCCTTGCTGTGTGAGCACTGATCCTGCCCGAGACATGTAAATATTGACAATGAAGCGATGGCTTTGTTAACAAAGTGCCATAACAAAACAATACCTATGATGCCTTCAAGCTCAGCCTTGTTGTGTCACCTCCACTCCGTTAAAAGGCCTTTCATACTTACGCAGTCATGGACAAGCACGAGACAAAAGTGAATGAATAGATATTCTGATTTTCACACAAGCCTTTGTTGTTGAACATCGGCCAATGGAGCAGTGCCACAAAGCACTGCTATAGACAAAGACAAACGCAAACCTAGGTATCTGTGTCCAAACAACGCCAGTGATTCGTTCCCATATGCTCCAATTCCCGGTCCCATCGTCACTCATTATCTTGGTTTCCATGCACTATCCTGCCTTGCGACCTCTCGCAATCAGTCTTCCGTGCAATTCAACCATCACGTCACTCCACTGCTCCTCTCCAGCCCCAACAAACTTGCCAATCCGTGTGGTTAGAAATTCAGTCACTTTGGGTACGTTAAAGTGTTCACCATACACCACCTTGGCATCAGGTGCAATCATCACGTCGAGTGCTTCGGCGCTGCTCTGACCTTGGAGATCCAGCTTGATTTCAAGACGAGTTTCCAGAGGCACGAGCAGCAGAGATGTTGTGATGGCTATGCTTGAGTCGGATGTTTTCTCCACTGTCGTAGGAAAGGTAGCGTTTAGTCGGGCAACTTGCGAAGAGACGAGGTTTGCCTTGTCCCAGGCATTTTGGACACTTTTTAGGAGGTGGGCAACCTCAGTGCGGCTATGAGGAAGCGCACGAACGTAATCTCGAATACTCTGTAAGAAGAACTCCTTCTCTGTTGTCTTGGGGAGTGCATTCTGCTCCCGGTTATCAGCGATATACCAGAGATCAATTGTCGAGTTCGGTTGATGCTCGTGAAAGGCGGCGATATCAAAGACGATCTCAATCTCACGCCTGTAGGCCATCGATAGTACAGTGCCAGATATGCCAGTCACTGACCAGCCACATTGCTTCTCGATGGAGTCAACTCGAGCTAAGGCTATGTTAGTCGCTGCTCAAGAGTAGCTTTATAAAGACTTACCTTTGAGACTGTTGACCTCTGTGCTCGTCCAGCCACGGCATTCCTCTCGTATCTTCTCAGACTCTGCGATTTCATCGACACAATTCTGCTTCTGGGTGATCAAGTCCTCGACCTCAATTTCTGACGCTTGGAACTGCTCTCTTAGCTCTGCGATGCGCTTCTTCTTATATTTGACGTCCTCGTTAAGAGACGCCAGCTCGTCGCGGGCAGCCTCGAGATCGGTAGGATCACAGTCAGCAAGCTCCCGGGCGACCTCCTCGAGATTATTGCTTTCTTCCAGCAGTGACTTGTAACGAGCCACAATCGCGGGTAGCACTGAATCAAGGAGACTCTTCTGCTTATCCAGAAGCTCCTTGTCGGTTTCCATACCATCGTCGATTCCTGAAAGGCCTTCCTTCAATCCCTCTTGCAGTTTCATTCGCCATTCATACCACATGGCTTTGCTTAACAAGCGAGCGTGGTTCTTCACATTCATAAACTGCTTGTCCATCAGGGTCTTGATCTCAGGTGTTGCTGCCATATACTCCTTGAACAGAGGCGGGTTCTCCTCAAACGTGTCGGTCTCGATTTCCTTCACGATTCGTCGGCCTTCCGATATATACTTCTTTAGCTCACGGCATGAGTGCTGATAGAGTTCAAGCATCGGCACTGTGCAAGCTCCAGCAACAACACAACGTTCGAGGGAAAGGTCCTCTTCGCCGTCACCAAGGAATCCGTTGTCAAGGGTTCCGGGAGCTTGCGTATGACGACGCTTGGTAGTTGTCAGCTCCATGAAGCGAATAGAGGTCATGTTCAGGAAATCCTGAAGATGAATTCTATCTCCGTCTTGGTCGGTCTCTGCCTCTGCTTCCTCCTCCAGCTGCTCCGCATCTCTGATTGGGGTTTCATCGAAATTCACCTGGTGTCCAACCCTGTCATCTTCAACCTCCTTGAATCTACCCTGATGCCTTGGGGTGGTTGCTGCATCAGGCTTCTCTGGTGAAGACAAGGTCGGTGTAGCAGTATTTGGCTGCAGGCTTTGTCGGAACGAATAATTCAATCTTCCCGTCGTCTCCTCTTTGGAGGGTGGTTGCTGAAGTCTGACATTCTTGACTGGGCTTCCTTGGTGACCTTTGAGTCTTTTGACACCATCGTTATCTTCTGGTTCATCCTCATCGTCGTCAAGTTCATTAGGTCGCTTGCCGAGAAGGCCTTTGGCACTTCCTACATGAAGACTCTTGCGACCCCTGAGCGGCTTACGCTTAGGACTGAGGCTGTCAATCATTTCTCGTAGGTTAAGTGTGGCTTCGGCGCCGTCAGCTTCCCTCTCAAGAATCTTTCTGCGATTTTCTTTATCTTCTTCCTCCTGTGCCTCACGATCAATCTCTTGCGTCATCTCCTTGGGGTCTTCAAACATGACGCCACGCTTCCCCGGCACGAAATTTGTAGCTGTATCACCAATAGACCCTCGTCGATCGAAAAGCGCAGCGACCTGTGGGGATCCAAGTCCAGCCCGGTCAGCCCCAATTCCTGACAAGCTTCGTTGGGGTGTAAGTATGACTGTCGGAGTTCGGTTGCTGTTTTTGAAATGATTCTGGAAAAGACCTTGCTTGGGAGTGGACTTGACAGGCGATGGGGTCCTTGAACTAGCTCTTGTCGTTCTGACAGAAGATGGTCGCTTTGGCGAAGCTGAGCGAGGAGTAGCGTGCTTTTCCGATACAATTGAGTCGAGTTGAGGCGTAGCTAGTTTGGTTGATCTAGGTGTTCTGGCCTTGGTTGACTGCGGTGTTGTTGTTGCTTTTGCAGGTGAAGGTGTGCGAGAATTTCGAGAGTTTGCTTGAGGGGTTGACATTTTAGTACCAGTGATACTTCGTGGAGCACTCCTTGGAGTTGTTGAGGGTCCGGGGCTTGGTGTCTTGGTCTGCTTATCGTTCGGCGTTGTTGGTTTAGCTTGTTCGTCAACTGCATTCTTGCTAATAGCGGCCTGAAGTACATCATCAGGACTGTCAGCACTATCAGCCTCCTCTTCCATAACCCGCTTGCCCAGGTTTCGTGAGCCACCTGTCGCTTTGCTGAGAATGCCCCCGATGGCAGTGGTCATGTCCATACCCATTGTAGCATCGCCTTCGTCCTCATCCGCATCCTCGTTGTCCTCTGAGCGGTCAGTCCCAGGTTTCGACAGGATCTGGCCAACTGCAAGAGTCATATCCATGGGGGCATCATCTTCGTCATTTTCGTTTTCAGCACGGTTGACCGTACGTCTTCGAGAAGCAGCTATGCTCTTCCGCTTCTTTTGTGACAGGACTCCGCCCATAACAGTAGTGAGTTCCATCGACATATCCTCGTTGCCGTCTGACGCCTCATCTTGCTCGAGCGCTGGACGCTTGATACCACCAATTGCGGTTGTAAAATCCATTGTAGCCTCTTCCATTGGGGTGTCCTCTTCCTCTTCCTCTTCATCGGCATCGTGAGCGCTCGTTCTCTGGGGTTGGCTGACAATACCACCAAATGCACGCGTAACATCCATAGACATATCCTCATCCGGATTATGTTCTTGTGAGGACTTGGGTTTTATGATGCCCCCTATGACACGAGTGACGTCCATAGACATATCCTCATCCAGATCATACTCCTGTGCGGGCTGAGGTTTAATGATACCGCCGACGGCGCGTGTCATGTCCATATCCATGCCCATATCCATATCCATGTCCATGTCCATACTCATGTTGGTTCCGGTAGCGTCATCCGTTGCTTGCGTTGCTTGGGCTTGCTGAGTCTGAGCTGGAGGCGGTAGATTTTCTTGATCTTGTGCAGCAATGTTGTTCTTGTTCTCCTTGCCCCATCCAAACATGGGGATATATTCTTCGTCCTCGTCAAGGTCATCGTCTTCCTCATCTTCGTCTCGGAGTTGTTGATTGCCAGCTCTTCGCGCAGCCAGTCTCAGCGCTTCATCTAGTGTGGATGACTCTCCATCGGAATCGACCGATCGATCTGAAGCAGCTGTTGTTCCGGTCACATCATCGACAGTCATCATTGTTCCATCGTCGGATTCGCTGCTATCATCGTCGCCATCTTCCTCAATATCGGCAACCTCTTCGACTGCATCTGCAGGTTCGGAATCTGAACTATAGAGCGTTGTCGCAGTGTCATCTTCGGAGTTGTGGAAATTAACTGGCGGGAGTCCGGAAGTTCGTCTCTGCTTCTTCTCTTCGTCGTCGCGTTCTTTTTGCTGAGCGGCGGCATTGGAAAAGGCTGAGTTTCGCCTCGTTGAGTCGGTAGATGTCGTCGAGTCCTGGTTAAATTCAACTTCATGAAACGTGTGTAGAGTTGCCTCGGCAGCAAAAGATACGCGACGGTTTGCAAGAGATTTGCGACGAGCATCGCGACGCTCACGCTCTTCTCGTTCCCGAGCTGCAGCTTGCTGCTCTTCTTCTGTCTTGACTGCGATCTTGGAACCGCTATTATCCGCGCTACTCGGAGTGGAAACTTCTTTTGTTGGTACTCCAAAATCAATTAGATCGGGTTGTCTCGGCTTCATAGGCGGTATTTCAGGTATCGGCATGGTTTGTTTGAGAATTGAGCGCGGGGCTCTTGACGGGACCGCAAGAGACTGAATTTATTAGTTATTACTGTATCTCAGGAATCAACAAGAGTCATGTCTCACAGCTCGCCTGTTTCCATTTGCTTTCATGAGAGCCTCCAAGCCACCAGGACCTAAACTCTTGCTTCTCGACTTTTTGCGACTCGCGGCCAGTGAGCTTGTGACGTCGACGGTCGCATTTTCCTTCTCGAACGCCTTATTAACATCTGTATGGGCACCGATTGATCTCCGTGTGCGCCTTGTAGCAGGCAAAGTTGCATCGGCGGGCACCATCCTGCGTAATTGAGCTGTTGGGTTATGTCGAGTCTAGAGTCTAACCCCAACATGAAGCGCGACGACGATAAGTGATAGTGGGCTGTGACTTGGCTATCTCGCGTGTGTTTGTTTACTTTGGCTGCCAGGGGGGAGAGTGGGGTCGGCATTGATCAACCTCAGATGGCCCACTTCCAATCACAGCCATAGTTCGCGCCTCATCACGTGAGCTTGAGCCACAGTAATTATCAGGAAAGTCACGTGTGTGTCTAGTACCTGCCTCGCGAAAATTCCAAGCCCTAATTTTCCTTACTAAGGAAGGCACGCAAAAATTGGTGTTATTTTCTCCTTCCGCCTAGCATAGCCAATATCAACCTCGCCTCACCCAGCTCAACCACACGCCATCTCGTTACGGTACCTGCCCGAGAAGGATAATTCAAGATGTCAGTGACAGTCCAGCCCAGCCCAACTGCAGCGTCGAAGCCGAATGAATACACGATGTCGAAACCGAATGAGTCGCTAACCTTTGCATCAGGGCGACCGAGTTGACCGTCCAGTCGGAGCGTGCTTTCCAGAAGCAGCCTCACATCTTCCAGAACTCGAAGACCAAGACCAAGAGCACCCGACCGGGCAAGGGTGGTCGACGATGGTACAAGGACGTCGGTCTGGGTTTCCGAACCCCCAAGACCGCCATTGAGGGCAGCTACATCGGTACGTTCGACATATTTGAGATTTTGGGACTTGGGAGGAGCACACGAAAACGACTTTTGCCAAACGACGGGCACATGAACGAACAGTGGCATCAATCGACCGTGCTAGGAGGGAATTGCGCAAAGAAAATAAGACGTTGAGCGCATCACTAACCTTTGGATCTACAGACAAGAAGTGCCCTTTCACCGGTCTCGTCTCTATCCGTGGCCGTATCCTAACCGGTACCGTCGTTTCCACCAAGATGCACCGCACCATCATCATCCGACGGGAGTACCTTCACTTTATCCCCAAGTACTCCCGTTACGAGAAGCGACACAAGAACGTTGCCGCTCACGTCTCCCCCGCTTTCCGTGTTGAGGAGGGTGACCAGGTCACCGTTGGCCAGTGCCGACCCCTCAGCAAGACTGTACGTTGAAGAACGAACGAACCGATATCAGAGATTGTCGCTAACATGATTCAAGGTCCGCTTCAACGTCCTGCGTGTCCTGCCCCGAACTGGCAAGACTGTTAAGAAGTTCTCCAAGTTTTAAGTTGAGACTTTCTTCTGGCATTTTTTTCGGCGTGATAAGCATCAGGAGAGATGGGAAGTTTCTCCTGAAGGGTCGGGCACCGGATGTTGCGTTGCAAATGATTGTGCTATAGATGCAATCGCGAATAAAAAAGGATTCACGAAGACAATTGTTTTGGGTTGATGGTTCAATCGGGCGTGATATGGCTAGGAAAAGGGTCGTCATGATCTCAAGATTACGTTCATACCTTTGACTATTCGCCGACCAAAAAATGCCAGTGCCGTGAGGAACTGTTGTTTGACCTATGTGATGCGGCTGTGTCTGGTGAAGATCTCAGGTCATGGTAGATGCAACTGAATTTTGACGATAAGGTGCTATTTCGCCTCAATAAAAGAAATAGTTATGGCAACGATGTAAAGAATTCCCATCTGAACTAAGGGCTTGATGTTATGATGTCGAACCAGCTGGGATTGTTGAATCCTACGAATTCAATCTTTAATGAACTACAAAAAATGGAGTTAGTATACAGTGCTGCGTACAGTGCATCGCTGAAATTCTTACCTCCACTTATCACAGTTGAAGCTATAGTTTTTGGAGTGTCGCCTTCAAGTCCAGCTTCGAACTCGATTCCAGCTCTTTTTCTTTAGATTGGTGCTAATTTAGAGGAACAAACTTGCTACAATGGGTTGGATATCTTCAATCCTTGGTACCGACAAGTCGTCAGACCCTCTTTCGAAACTGGATCCAAGCCTTCGCGACTTTCTGGAGAAAGAATCTCCCCTCAAATACTCTTCGAACCAACCTGCGATTCCTCCTCCAGCAAATCAGCAGCCCCGAAATCCTGATGCAGCGGTGACAGCTTCAGAACCACAGAAGCCAGCCGTGCCTTCGGCAAGCCTGTATCAAGACGGTCGATATGCCCACCTCTGGAAGAACTACCAACCGCTCGCCGAGATTGAGGCAGAGACTGCAACCGATCATGAGAAGCTAATGAGCGTCTTGGAGGCATACAAGGAACGAAAAGAGGCTATTGGCAAGGCAGCATTGGAAAACTGTGCGGAATACCAAGAGGAGTGGGTGAATTGCATGAAGCATGGAAGCTGGGAGGATCAAATGCAGATGTGTAGGCATCAAGTTCGAAGATTCGAGAGGTGTTATATGATGCAGTCGGTATGTGGGCCACATTCGCCTTACTTAACATCCCATTTCTAACTTTGTTTAGCGCTTTCTTCGAGCGTTAGGGCATGGGTCAGTGGTAGGCAGATCGCCTGAGGTGGAAGAGGATATTCAGATGCACGCCGACTCTCTTTATCAGCGAATGATCAAGCACGAGGAGGCAGTTGAGAAGGCTAAGGCAGAAGGACTGCCCGTGCCGGTCTTCCAGGCAACACTGCCAAAGGCCAAGAAAGATGCGGTTATGCCCACCGAAGAACTTCAACAACAATGGAAAGAACAGCTTGATAAGCTACCGGCTGAGGAACGTGTGGTTGAAGAGGCTGCTCTTCGTGCCGATCTCCAGGCTAAGGCTGAGGTTGCCGGCAGCGTTCAGAAGATCTGGGATACACAGGCGGAGCAGAGGAAACAGAGACAGGCAGAGGGGACGTCTACATTTGGAGATTACATTGCATCTTTGTTTGGGAAATCTGGGAAATAACACGGCGGAGCAGGGAAGCGTATTGTATAATCCTGTATATTATGACAAGTAGATTACGGCATACCCCTCCTAGCTGCATGGTTCAATGTATGACTACATGAATAAATGTATCAATATAATGAATGCGTTTTTGTTTATTATTCATTCTGGTATGTCATCAAGCCAGTATCTTAGCACGGGTAGGTAATTTCCATATTAGACCTCCGTAACACTACGATAGTTGTTCGTAATCAATATCCCGCCGCTATAGTATGTATGACACTTACAAACATGTATTAGGTAACTAATTTCATTTAAAACATATTATAAGATACCTGAATATAAAGACGTTAAACTTTTATCTTATAAACTATCCTTGATATTAAACGTTGCATTACCCTAGAGCATGAGGATAGACCTGGCAAACATTTGCAACTTGGGAATAATCTCGCGGGCACATCGACATCAATCAATCAGCACGGTTCCGTGGTCTAGTTGGTTATGGCATCTCGTTAACACCGAGAAGGTCCCCGGTTCGATCCCGGGCGGAACCACACTTTTTGCCGTTCTTGGGTGTTGAAGTACTAATATGCTGCAAGGCAAAGAGAACAACAAGTAGAGCATAGGTAGTTGGGCAGGCAGTCTTCGTAACTTCTTACTTAGTCAACTTGTAATTTTTTCTCTAAGTAATTACGTCTATTGTTCTTGGTAGAACGATATCATCTATTCTTTACCTTCATCCACCCACTCGTTCCCCGACGCGGGGAATTCTTATCGCTACCTAGCAAATCTTTATTGGGTTGATTCGTATCAACAACCTCTTCTTCAACTTTCCATGCATCATCATCCAGAACTTCCCAGTCAGGGGCAGGCGCCTCACTGAGCAGCTTCTTCTTCAGCTTGTCGGCCAATTTGATCGGGCCAGGAAGCTTGAACGTCTTACTGAACTCGGTGCCTTCAGCTCCGCCGAGGTAGTAGAAAGTTGTGCCGTGGGAATATTGTCCCATGCGGCTGGCATGCGTATCGGTATCATTCTTGAATGCGCTCGGATCCTTCTTGTTAGATGATAAAGGATAGATGTTTCCACCAACATTTTGATGATTTGTGAGGAGCTCGTGTAAATTGCGGCCCATATTGCAAATGTCCTCAAAGTGAGTCCTATCACCTATCGAAACACCTTGCGTACTGCAAGCCCAGGCGATGTTGTAGGCGAGCAGAGTCACACCTTCTATGAAATATGAGAAGGTTGATGGATCTTCCTTGGCCAACAGCGCTGGTGGCTTGTCAATGAAAAGAGGTCTTGGACGTGAAACACGCTGAGACTCTGTGTCTCCGGAGTGAGAAGGATTCCCTACTCCTGTCTGACTAGGAAATACTGGATCCCCAGACCTGTGAGAAGCAGAGAGATTGAAGATAGTTGGCCGCGGGTAGTCGCGATGAGGAAGAGTAATTGCCGCAGGAAGACGGATTGAAAGATAGTGTGATACGAGCATAAGGATATGACAAATGTGACTGAGAGATGTTGAAATCATCTCTGGTGTTGATGCTGTGAAGGAGTTAGTACATAGTCGAAATAGTCGTGGGAGAACCTACAGTTCATTGTGGCCAAATCAACAACGGGGATTCCGCCAAGGTAATACTCATATTTGCCAGTAGAGTCTTCTTTGACACGTTCAAGTCCATATAGCCGGGCTGCCTCCATACAAAGAAATGATCGTGTACGAGCCATATCGCCAGCACTGCGAGACCACTTATACTTAAGTCTGCCAATGTCCGTTTCTATGTCCTTTTGCTGTTTCACTCTGCGCTCAACCAGGCCACCAGATACAGCTGCAATATCCGACTTGCGACGAGAGAGCGCAGCTTTCCGGGCCTGGATCTCCTCTCTGGCAGCTTTGATGTCATTTCTCAGCTTATCGGCAGCGGCCAAAATTTGGGTAGTCCTATCTTCGGCTGATCGCTGTTGCGCCTGTAGTGATTCTCTGTGAAACTTGTTTGGTGTGCTCGTCTCATCTAATAGCTCGTTTATTTCATTTTGGAGACTCTCGTTTTGCAGGAGAAGTTCCACATTGCTTATGCGACCATCGAGAAGCGAGTTCCTGGCGTCCACAGTGCAGAGAAAAGGAAGACGCTCTGCGTCGTGAATGCGATGACAGATATCGCAGTCCATGCTGGCTTTGCCACTGCGTCAAGGCAGTTGTCGCTATCTGTTGATCAAAGAAGACCAAGGGAAGCACGTTCAGCCTTCCGGTGATAAAACAGGAGATACGGGGCGCATCTTCGTAAGCCCGAGATAAGCGATTGAAAGTGAAAGTGCAAGCCAGATGACTTGTAGGTTTTGAGGTTGAAGATGGAAGTCACGAGTCGAGCAATGATAGTGACAATGTTGTGGCGCATGAACGTAAGCCACACAGGCAGTCAACCAAATGATGCAGGAACACCCGCACTTCAAGACTTCCTGTTGTAGTGAGGAAGTACCTATCTTTGATAAAAATACGTAACTTCACCATTTAGGCATCAGGAGTTAATCTTCCTTCACTGAGCTCAGGAAGCTCTAATAGAGTAATCGCCATTTTGTGAAATACAAGATTCAAGACCCCTTACCAACGCCTCAAGACAGTTGGCCAGGCTGCTCACTCTACAGTGCTGCACGTTCCTAACAGACACCCCTGTTGCTTGGCCGACAACACCCCTGGCGATTCAACGCGAAATGCCCAACATGGATACAGCACTTCCACTACAACAAGACGGCGAGAACCGTCAGAGTCAAGACGATATCAAGCCCACTGTCCCTGCTCCTGAGGAATCAAACATGAGCAACATCCAGAGACACCCGCACGGTAATAGAAGGACACCCGAACCTCAGGATGACCGACAAGCCAACAATTCTGATCCGCCAGATACCCCTGGTGTTTTAGAACCTTTTGACTGGGATGAGTTTGAAGCGCGTTATGAGGCTGCTTTGCAAGAGGCAGATGAGCGGGAGCGGGAGATTCTGAAAGAGGCGGATGCTCTCTCAAAGGTGAGTTCTTTTGAGCAATGATGCAGACTGATGAAACTAACGTCTGAGGAGTACTTTAAAATCTGGGCTGCGTCTGCGTCCGCGCACGATGATGAGCGGGCAGCGAAGCGCCTGCAAACACGACGACGCTTTGTGAATCTCGCTGAAGACAAAATGGAACGGAAAGAACAGCATTGTGAGCCCGACATGTTTTATCCCATCCTTTGACCAAATATTGACGCTTTGCAGATGATCAAGTTGTGAAGGCCTTTGAGAGTGCTCTAGCACTTCTCAAGTCCCAGTGAGCTACCCATGGGCTCTGAGTTGATTGCGGAAGCTTCAACCGGCTCCATCCTCAAACTTTTGGACTGTCTTCGCACAACATACTTTCCTTGCCAAAATGCTAGGCAGGCTGCAGGACATATTTGTCTTTTCACACCGGATCAAATTGATGTTGGTGTATTGGCACGTGACATAATTTCGGCCTTGACGCGTCTCCCGTCAATCTCGCCAAATCATGCCTGATCTCGCGTTCAAGAAAAACCAAGACATGCCGCAATCAAATAATGAAAGTACAACAAATGCGCAGGTAATACCCAACATCTCTACCGTAAGTTGCCCAAATACGCGCAATTTGATACTTTACTGACACTTCTAGGATGATCTTGCTGCTTTTCACGAATCCCATTTCTCGCACACAGCCGTCGCTGCCTTCGGATCTGAATTCGTAGACTCGTCACCCCAGGACCAAACTCACGATGGCGCGGTCGACGACACCTGGGAGGAGGACGACGATGGCCTGGGCTATTATCCGGATGGTGTGAAGAGGACTTTGACGGATGCGCAAATCGAGATATTTCGACATTCAGAACTCGAAACTCTGCGCAAAGAGAAAGAAAGAGCGAAACAGCCGGGTTCGAAAGAAACAGCGCCTTCGAGCGAGGTCATGGATTTGAGTGATGATACCCCTACTTCCACGCAAACGAAAAATATGACCTCCTCATTACCCACTTCCTTCCAGAGTAATAAGAAACGAAAGAAGAAAAAGGGTCCTCAGCGCCCTCGCCCCGAACCGAAACCAGACTTGCGCAAACGAACCTGGGACGTTGTGGACAAGGGCTTGGACTCGCTGGAATACGACTGAGCATGTTCCCTGGATGTAGAGGGCATATTCCTTTTGGAATCTCGAACGTTGCCCGGCAAGAAATCTCGATTGTAAGTTGAATCTCCCTACAGTGTTTCGAACCTCATTATGATGAAAACCCTTGTATCGTCATCCTTAGTCGGATCGGGGCTGGAGGTGGACGAAGTATTGGCCCCTGCCGATATTGACACCTCTGCAGCCCCGAAATGTCGAGCAATTAATCTTCTCTCTGAGACATGAGACTTTCATTCGTATTCTTCCTAGCAAGCAGTTTGTTTAGATATGTTGCTAACTATGATTGTGGTATAGGATACGGCGATTCAGGCCAGTTTGACAAGTTTCACGACGCAGCTTGCACATATTATACGTTCTTCGGCGACCAATGAATGTATGAGGTAGGCGCTTTGACTCGAGCAGATAGCAAGCCATGTATTTTGTTCGAGGCCTATTCGTGATGCACATGTGTTTGTTTGGTCTTAATATTGAATTCATCTGGAGTCTTAGAAGAAATGGAAACAAGTATGTTTGCGAACTACATATCTCTAGGAAATGGGCCCCAGGGGCAAGAAACCTTGGACCTAAATATAAGGTGTTGAAAATAAACTCAGCAAAATATGTCCTAAACCTGTCCTAAGTTACCTAAATATTTTTGCCATTCAGGATTAAGGTCCTAAGTTTTCTTTCCTCCCCTAGATAGGTCTACATATGATCTCGACCTACCTTAGACTTAGCTTCTTTGAGCATTAGACAATTATTTTGCTTAGGTAGATGTAGATGGTGACAAGATGTTCATAAAGTAACATTTATTAGCAGAGTTAACCCTCTGGCCTTGGATAGCCCAAGCACTTCACTGTTTCGGCGGCAGCCTTGAAGTCTTTTCCGACTGTGTTGGTTAGTAGTCCGTTGTCAATAAGAAGTGAATGCCAGAAACAAACAGTCATGGCGCATCCATTCAATTCGGATCCTGCACAAGCCACTCTCTGCCTCTATTTGCCTTGTGATTGATTTAGAGGTGCTTGTGCCCAGTCAACAGTGTTATCGCGGAGCGGCCGATAAGCACCACAGCGAATCATAGACCAGCCCGCCCGCCAAAAATATGGGGCAAATCTGGGCTGGGCTGGACCCGACCTGAAATGCCATCCCACCTTGATTTTGCAAACCAAGTCAAAGCAGGTCCAGCCTCTCCCCTTCAGCCTCTTAGCCTCGAGATCTTGGGTTGGGCTAGATTAGACACACACGAGTACCTCGGCCTCAACCTCTCATCCTCAGTATCTCTATCGCTCCGACCGTCCTCGACGCCCCGCGACACCATTTTCTTCCACCGCCAGCGTCGCCTCCCTGCGACGGTCTCCATCTCTGCCCATCATGGCGCGTGTCTACGCCGATGTCAACCAGAGCATGCCCCGCAGTTACTGGGACTACGACAGTGTTAACATCAGTATGCCCTCACCCCACGTGAGAACTCTCTCGACAACGAAGCTGACAACTATGTAGGCTGGGGTGCCCTAGAAAACTACGAGGTCGTCAGAAAGATTGGTATGCCGTCGCCGTCCATTTCGCTGCTTAGTTATTGACCTCTTGTGCGTCTGTAGGTCGTGGAAAGTACTCGGAAGTCTTTGAAGGCATCAATGTGGTCAACTACCAGAAATGCGTCGTCAAGGTCCTAAAACCTGTCAAGAAGAAGAAGATCAAGCGCGAGATCAAGATCCTCCAGAATTTGGCCGGAGGTCCCAATGTTGTTGCCTTGCTTGACGTTGTTCGGGATGCGCAGGTCGGTGCCAACTTTCTCGACTGACATGGCAATATGGAACTGACCAACCGCAAATAGAGTAAGACGCCGTCCCTCATTTTCGAGCACGTCAACAATACCGATTTCCGAAGCCTCTACCCCAAGTTCAATGACATCGATGTCCGGTTCTACATCTTTGAGCTCCTCAAGGCTTTGGACTTCTGCCACAGCAAGGGTATCATGCATCGAGATGTTAAGCCTCATAACGTTATGATCGATCATGAGAACCGAAAGGTTGGTCATCCTGGCATGACACCTCTGACGTAGAGCTTACTGACGGTTTTCAGTTGCGTCTCATCGATTGGGGCCTGGCCGAATTTTATCACCCCGGTACCGAGTACAACGTTCGTGTGGCCTCTCGCTATTTTAAAGGCCCAGAGTTGTTGGTCGATTTCCAGGAGTACGATTACAGTCTCGACATGTGGAGCCTGGGAGCCATGTTTGCTTCTATGATCTTCCGAAAGGAGCCGTTCTTCCATGGAAACAGCAACTCGGACCAGCTTGTGAAGATTGCCAAGGTTCTTGGTACTGATGATCTGTTTGACTACATTGACAAGTACGAAATTGAACTGGACGCGCAATACGACGACATTCTCGGACGATTCCAGAAGAAACCATGGCATAGCTTCGTCACCTCGGAAAATCAGCGATTTGTTTCTAATGAGGCCATCGATTTCCTTGACAAGCTACTGCGATACGACCACCAGGTTTGTTTATAGCTCCAACATCTTCTATCTAATCTAATATTTGTATAGGAGCGTTTGACCGCTAAGGAGGCGCAAGCGCACCCCTACTTCAACCCCGTCCGCGACCCCGAGGTTTTCAAGCAACACCTTGCAGCTGCTAATGGCGCTGCCAACAAGTCTTGAGAGTGCTTGGAGTCGTAGCTCTCCACCACTCATCATCTCTGGCGATCTATCTCGTGGCAACCCTTAAACATAATACCCTGGACTGGCGGTTACTGCTTTCCTTTGTCGGTCTCCCATCCCTGATAGGATACACCCATACTGGGAAGAGAATATCTTAGCTGGATCCGCCTCGATCCTTTCCGCCGAGAAAGCGCGCCGACTCAGTGGCCCTGTGAGATGGATTTCATGAGATTGGGGCTGTATGAGAATATCCTATAGCCCTAGCATGACGTATGATTCAAACGGTTCGATGTAGTGAGGAGAAGCTTGCGCGATATGCCGCATCATCTCGGACGTTGTTACAGTGGCGATGTGGAATGAGACAATGTGGTTTCGGCGTTCAAGGTTCTGAGGGTTATAGCACGTTGAGATCGAGGGCTAATCTAATCACCAACACTCCTAACCTTTTTTTAGCTTTGAAGTTGGAGGTTTTCATGCTTTTGGGTCAGCTTTTCTCGAGTAGCGTACGCATCAAATAAAACCACAGCGCTATGTTTGCTTGTTGTATATTGAGTCCTACAAGGCTTTATTTTCTATGGTCTTCTCTACCAAAAGTGATTTGTGAGATTAGAATGGCCATTCATATACAAGAGAAGCAAAAGTCTCGGCCACATTGATAACCGTCTATACCACAAGTTCGTAACGTGCCTCCCGGTGTCTTAACAGTGCTGGTAGGACTGGACATTTCACGGAAACGCTTTCTACTGGGCGTCCGCTGGACTTCTCTAGTTAGGGCACTGGCTCGCCAAATCTTCTTCGTTGAAGGACGAACGCTTGCTGTCTTTGATGTTGATTTGACTCTGCGCGCTAACTCATCCCGAAACTCACCGGCGTCCGATTCCGAATCCGACACAAATGAGAGGAGGGATCGGCGTGATGATGGTGCACGAGTAGTACGAATGGAAGCATGACGAGGGGTGTGTGGTTTGTGAGAGCTTGAAGTGGGTTCTGTAAGGAGAGCCCTTGTATCCTTCGGCTTCCGTGGTGTCGATGCCTCTTGAACCATGATATTTCGAGGCAATTCGGGGAGAGATTCTTCATCATGTACAGCTTCGTCTTGAGGAGGCGCATAATCAGAGGAGTTGTCGTTAAGACGAGACCCATTACCATCAGAGTGATCGCTGTAGCTGGGAGAGTCTTCAACATGGCCGGGGGAGGAAGGGCAAGCTGTAGATGACTGGTCGTCTCCGACGGTTATGACGGACTCCGGTGCTTCCATATGCCCCCCGGGAATTATTTTTGGTTCCTGCAACAGCCCAAGTGGCGGCTGTTCCTTCTGGCCATCTGAAATTTCCTCATTGAGTTCTGTTGACTCGTCTGCGCTGCTACTGGACTTTTGGAGCCTTTCCCGGGACCGCCGAGGCTTGATGGTCTCGTCTGAAGTTTTAGCTTGTGGTCTATAAGACACTGGGCTCTTGGATTTTGTCTTGAGGAGCCATTTGAGTTCGCTCGTTAGATGATGTGTTACTGGACGCTCTTCAGTCTCTGTAACATCATTATCCGATTTCGGTAGGGTTTCTTCATCGCGATCCGGACAATCATGGGTCCTCGTACCATAGGTCGAGTGATCTTCCGACTCAATTTCAATATCGGGATTTGACGTCTTTGGCGCGCCAGCATCATGTTGTTGAGGCGCCGTGGGGCCCCTTGCTATGGCATTCGTACTAGAAACAGTATTGTTATTTTGAGCCTTACGTGTTGAGCCTTTGGGTCTTCCCCGCCTGCGCTTGGGAGGCTCTATAGTCTGGTCCTGCGTACCCCCAACCGTGGGCTCAACTGTGGATGTTGCTCTTTGATTGGGCTTTGTTGACCTCGTAACATGTACAATGGGCTCAGCGTTTCGAATTCGATCATCTGTTGGCATAAGTGGCGATAGAGGTTTTCGGGGTTCTGCCTGGCGCTTTGGTGCTCGGATCCTTGAAAGAACAAGAGGAGCTTCGTCGTCTGAAAGCTCCATGCTAGGAACGGTAGGTACATCAGAAGCATAGAGTCTGTCGTTAGCCACCTTGCGCTCCGGTGCCTCAGGAGCACTGCTGTTGAAAGGAGTCGCGGTGTCCTGTGAATCTGGTATAACCAGCCTTTGGGAGGTCGTCCCCCTTTCGAGTGTTGATGTTCCCAGCGCATTGCCTCGAAGCTCCTCCGAGGACGAGGCACACTCATCGCCGACATGATCGACGCTCTCGAAGTCTTTGCGAACGGCTGGGTCAGCCTTGTATAGCTCCACCCTCAACCTCTGACCTGATTTCTGCCATTCTTTGGCATCGTCCCATGAGATCTTGCCCATATACTCAGCTTGTTTCCTCGGTCGGCGAGACCGTCTCCGACCAGAACCGTCTTCTTCGTCGTTCTGCTGGGGCACTTTCGCAACATTTCCATTGGTTTCTTCCAGTGCCCCCTGTGAATGCCGATGGACTTCGTCCTTCGCAGGTGATTCTTTTGTTGGGAGGACAAGACTCGCCTCAGAGGTCGACGCTACCACGGTAGTCTCAGAGAAAATCAAGTCATCGTCTTCGTCGGTATCATTTATAGTTCTATCAGGGGCCAAATCTTCTTGATTATCACGTGACTGTTGCTCAAACACGGATCTGTGATGATCATCTGCAACTGCATCCTCTTCCGCACGAGAGCTGCTAGGGTTTCTGGTCATCGCCTGCTTGGAGGATGCTTTCATAGAGCCAGCCCGCTTTGTCTTCTTGGCCCGGTTGCGACTCCAAATCGATGTCTGTCCGTTATGAGCAGGGAAGTCGTATCTGCCTCCAGTGAACCAAGGCCCTGGCATACTCGGTGGCATGTTGAAATATGGGGGAATATCGTCCCGACCCCAGGCTTGCATAGGAAACCCGTGCATTCCTCCCCAGGGCCCAAATCCTGGAGTTGGCCCGAACCCAACTGACGAACCCGGTCCATAGGGTGGAGGACCGAAGTGAGATTCGCTGGCATGCAGCATGGCGTTATTAATTCGTGAGGGATATATGGTCGTATCTGTATCAGCTTGTAGTGCTTCCTGGGACACTTCGCTGTGAGTCCTTTGGCTCGTTGGCGTGCCTTGTTCTGCAAACGTTGATTCTTGGTTGTTCTGATGGTCGCTCCGAGAATGCTGGACTTCTTTGACTGGTTCTTCGCTATCAGAACATCCATCCGTAAGGTCCTCGAGCAGAACTCCTTCATCTTCGTCGATGTTACTGTCGCCCTCCATCCATAGTCCTTCAACGTCTCCCTCATCACGCATATTACGCAAATGACCGTTGTTAACCACAATTTCTCCAGTTTTCATGTCGATTTCGTCGCCGATGCCCTCAAAGTCCCGGCTGTATTTTTCGATAATATGAGCCATTGTGGCTTGCAGTTTGTGGTCAGCATTCGCCCGCTTGAGCGCAAGCTGAATATCAGGGTCTCGGCGCATCCTAATCTCTTGAGGATGTGAGGCAAGTTCGTCATCGTCACTTTCATCTTGAACCTCTTTTTGAGCTGGAGAGCCCCGTCGCCTTTTCTTTGTGGGGGGTTCCATTGTCACTATCGTAATGAGGAATCTTTGTCGGCATCAAATCATGCATGATTTTGTGACATTTCCTTTATGGGGATGCATGGTAGCCTTCCATTTGATGGCTCCTGCATTCTTTGATGACGATGTTTCGTTGGAGGAGCAACTGAAGGGTCTAGACGCGCCGAGACGCGCCATCAGGGGCCGTGCGTCGCGTAAAGTGCTGGAATCCATGTGGATCTTATCGATCAATTTGGCGGGGTTCACTACCTAACTATAGCTCAATGTAGGGGATGCATCCATTATCATGTGGACGCTGTCAACCTTTTGATGACTTCAAGTGACCTTATGAAAGAATATGAAAGCCAGGCTTAGCTGTGATAGCTCTTTCTTTGTAATTAGTTTCTTTTGTTTACTTGTTGTGCAATGAAGTCCTTATACAGCTTATATATTCTTACTTTGTCCCTGTCATTTCGGGCCCTGTGATCAACTGCGCATTGGCTTGTGGCGGGCTCCCAGTGCTAAACATAACCCGACGTCACCGCTAAGACATCCACTACACCTTACTCTGTCCATTTCTTTACTTTCCCTACCTTTCTCACCAACGACACATCACGCTTCTTTAAAAGCTCGGTACAGCGCATTCGTCGAGCAACCAGTCTCGAACAATGCCTGCTCGTTAACCCAAGTATGAACTGCCAGAAATGCCGCCAGCCTCTTAGGCTGGACGGATCCCTCGAGGACCTCAATCCAGCTGCCTATGATGTGCTTGTTTGTATGTGGCTTAATCCTTTTTCTGCGCACGTATCTGACCTTGCTCTCCAGCATCTACATCTCCCCAAACCCTCAAGAAATCATCTGTGACGAGCCCACCGATTACGCAACCACAAGAGCAAGCGCGCAAGTCTCTATACGAAACGGTCTCAAGAAATACTGGGCCACCGACGTTCAAGCGCAATCATGGAGGGCATCCCCGCGATTCCTCTATGTCTTTTGTTTTGTTATCAGAGTCCCAGATGACTCACCCGAGCCAGCCTACAGAGTCTCCCGCTATGCCAACATCATTGCGCCGTGCCAGCTCTGCCAGAAGTAATGGGGATAATGTCGACGAACCTGTTGGAAACGAGATGGACAGGATCAACCGACTTTTCGAAATCTTATCTGCGCGATCCGATATAGACCACCCTATTTGCGTTGAATGTACGGAAATGCTGGTTGAGGGCCTACAGAAGAAGCTAGAGGTTGCTTCACGCGAAAGAGACGCCTATGTTAAACACCTGAAGGAGGCGAAAGCAAACAAACCAAGCGAAGAAGACATGAGAGCTCAAGAGGAAGCGCTGAGAAAAGCTGAGCAGGATAGAGCAACAGCTATGGAAGAGCTGAAGAAGCTGGAGTCGGAAAAGACTTCCTTAGATGAGGAGCTTGTAGCTCTTGAGGAGGAGTCGCGGCAGCTTGACAAAGATGAGGAGAAGTTCTGGAGGGAACGAAACGAGTTTGCTACCAAGATGGGTGAATTCCAGGCGGAAAAGGACAGCATCAACGCCAAGTACAGCAACGACTCCCAGCTCCTAGAAAAGCTGCAGCGATCTAACGTATATAATGACACCTTTTGTATCAGCCACGATGGGAGCTTTGCGACAATCAACGGCCTTCGACTTGGCCGTCTCTCTAACAAACCGGTAGATTGGCCAGAAATTAACGCCGCATGGGGGCACGCCCTGCTACTTTTGGTTACCGTTGCGGACAAACTTTCCTACAGATTCGATGGATATGACCCGCAGCCTATGGGAAGCACGTCAAGAATCATCCGATACGAAGTACCAAGCCCTTCTTCCAGTCGAATAAGTAGTCGCGCTGTCAATGCACCCCCAAAGAAGCATGTGCTCGAGTTGTACAGCTCTGGAGATATGCCTCTAGGGTTAACCTTCATGCATCGACGCTTTGATAACGCCATGGTTGGGTTCCTGGAGCTTGTGCGACAGCTGGGCGCGTATGTGCATAGGCAAACAGATGCAACTGGCACACCTCTTAGCTTGCCATATAAGATTGATGGTGACAAGATTGGCGATGTCAGCATCAAACTCGGCATTGCGCAAGATGATGGATGGACCAAGGCGTGCAAGCTGACATTGACGTGTTGTAAGTTTCTGCTCGCGCACGCCAGCAACGTCACCTCCAACGCAAGAAATGGCGGGAACTGAACAAGTCCGCCGCTACTTGATTGCAGGAACTTGGGGTTCTCTGATTTGGGCTCTCCTGTATCTCCATTATGTAGGTACTAAAAGTGGTGGAGTTTTGGACAAGCTGGACGGCGTTATAGGGTGGAAATCGAGCATAGAGGCTGCGCCTATTCGGTCGTATTGAATCATTTGGCATCATGAATAGCAATGAACTCACAATAGCTTTTCTGCCTCATTTCTGTAGAAAAACGTAAAAATTCAAATTGTTTGTTGCGGCCCGTGTCAAACGCGAGTGGCAGGTACTTATCCGTTGCTGTTTTCTGTATAGAGGTCAACTTTTACTCTGTGCATAACTAAAACAGTACCTAAGAAGACCTGTGCCTTCCTATTATCCTTGTTTGATAAGTAGATACTTGGCAAGAGACCAAGCTAAACCAAGAGCGCAGGCATTTACTTATTCTTCGTGATTCACGTTCTCGCTGCTCTTCTCCTTTTAAACTCTCACATCCACAACAATTCCCAACTTGTTCAACCTCAAGCATCCTCTGTCAAGTACTCGAAATGGGCAGTTGCGCTCACTGTGGTAAGGCTTCAACAGTGAGTTGCTCTCATTGCATGGGAGCTCCAGAATACCACGATGGAGATGCTGTCACTACCTTCTGGTGCAGCCCCAGATGCCAGGCAGCTCACGAGCCAGCTCATCAGGAGTATTGCTACAACCTACAACGACGCAAAACTCTTTTACGTACAGCCAAGCTACTCAAAGCAGCAATTTTGGCGTACAAGGAGGTTGTGTACGACATTCATGTGACAAGAATCAAACATGACGAAGTCAACGGAACTCTGGTCCTCACACACACCCCGAATCGAATTGAGCGCCATCCTTTCCCGAACCACCTCACAAGTATTAAAGACCACAAACAAGCTGCTCTTCTAGTAAACCAGTGTACCATGTCGATTTCTCTCCTTGGTCCGATGGCTAGGGGTCTCTTGGCCGGTAGGTCTAGCCGTTTCTTCCGATCAGGGTCATTTTGCTGATAGCTATCGATTAGGAATTGTCTCTCGGATGGATGTCGTTGTTGTTGAGATCCAGAATCCTCCCCTCACTATCAAATTCCACCCCCCTGATGGCATCATGGCAGACAGGAAGTTCCATACCATTGTTGAAGCGACGCTGGACTCATCAGGGGAACGATGGCTGATCGACGTCACCGGCTGTCAGTATGGCTTTCGGGATATTCTGCTTCCCTTCGAGAAGTACATTGCACAGAACAACTGCTCCTCGTATGAGCGGCTACAGCCTTATGCTCACACAGAAACCACCGACCAAGACGAGCTTCCACGCTCACCTTTGATGATACTCACAAGAGGGCCCAGCGAACAACAGTTGGCAGACATTGAAATTGAGAAAGGTTATCGTCGACACTTCGCCGCTCTAGTTCGTGCTCTGGTTCATCATGGATTGACTCAGGGGACTGATGCTCACTTTGCAGCCACTCTCGATGAATTGGTCCGCAGAGTCATCACATACATGTCAAGTTATCCACTTCCGACGGAAGCATATCAGGAGAGCCCTTTGTACTGAGAGCTCTCGGCTGGCTTGCTTGCCTGGGTCCAGATGGGTCTGCGGGAACACACAGGACTAGTCCCGATGGTTAGCTGCATAAGTAAGGTGGCCCAAGGCTTACTACGGGGCATTTTAGAAGGCGGTGCAACCTCGTGGATGGCAGCCTACTTCTGCACGTAACCAAGAATTGAGAGTTAATTCCTTTGAATAACTCAAAACCGATGGGCTTATTTCAGAAATGTTCTTCAGTGTGAACTGTGACAGCGACCTCAAGTCAAGGTGCGCAGAATACCCAATATTGTCTTAAGGTCTACTAACCTAGGGATAGTCCCTACTCTGTAGAGTGAATGAATTTACTTGGGAGCTTACATATGTACCCTCACAATAGCTTCACGCTATAAATCCCCACACATCAAACGACAGATCCACTTTTGACCTCTAGCAATGCCGCTTAAGGCTGCGTAGGGCTGTGCTGCAGCTGGCATGCCCAATATCTCCACATCACTCCAAGTGCTACTTTGACAGAGGATGCCAAAATAAACTCGTCAAAGACCCCCCCTAAGCTTAGGGAATTTAGGCAAACTTGCCCAAATCTTTCTATCATCTAGAATTGAGGTCCTAGGATTTGTTGTCTCCCTATAGGCTACTCTAGAACTGTGTTACACTTGCTCAAGGCAAACAGGCCGGGGCTTGAAACTAGGCGTTGCTGCCTTGACTGGTATCGTAGCTAATGATGGCGGAACTCCTTGATTGGGTGAAATGTTTCTCAACACCGTGATAGGCCAGTCTCAGCTTACACAGCTTGGTCAATTACTCTATAAAGCAGACAGGATGCTCACAGTTTCTCTCCTGGTCAGCTCATTCTCAGACCGTCAGACCCTCTTGACATAAACTGTCTCTTGGCTCCTGTGTCTTTCGTATCTCTCTACAGGTTTGTTTGTCCTTCAGAATCATCATGGATACTCCTCAGCCTCACGAAGTCAACGTCATTGACGGCGATGACACCAGCTCCATCGTCAGCTTCGAGGACATCCCCCCTAGGTCCAGGCCAAGATACAGACATGGTCCGCACATGGCCTCTATGCCCAGGGTGCCCCCAAAACCAGAAATCCTCAAGATCGATGGCAAAGTACCAGACGTCCTTCATGTGGTCAAGTACCTCGGCTGGCAAAATAATGTCATAGAATGTCAGTTTTCAGCCATGTATTCTCTATGTTGATATTGAGCTAACCGTATGACAGGCCGTCAGAGCGACGCTGCTTTCAAGCATGTTCCCCCGTATGGCTTCAATGGCGATATCAACCTCGTAGTCGATGAAGATGCAACTGGAGATGAGAAGCCTGTTATCGAGATCATCACGAAGGTCTTGCCCCGGAGCCGATCCCCCATTCCTATCCACCGTCGGTCTCGAGGACCTCGAGACCAGGAAGACAGACCGATCACTGAAGCATTCGAAAACATTGACTATCGCTACGACAATCTCTACCCAGATGAAGGTCAAGATCCCGAAGTGCCTGGCCCAGAAATTTCCCGCCCCTTCATGATCATTCATTCAGACCACCTTGTCAATGCCCTCAAGGCTGTGGTAGCCTACTATCCGTACGTCAGCTTTGACGGCAAGCCTGTCACAATCAATGCCCCTTACCGGGTCCTCTACCATCATAGACAGGAACTCGCCCGTTACAAGGATAACCAACCATTGGCCCATGATTCTGACTACGCCGCGACTACTTCAAAGCATATTGACGTTCTCCTCAAGTTTCTTGACGATAACCTTGGTGATGAGATCCGCCGTGAAGAGGAGCGTCATAAACTTGCTACCCCTAGGGCTACCTTTGATCTCTTTTGGCTTCTGCTCAAGCCAGGCGAAGTCTTCTACGCAAAGCGCTATGATATCTGGACCCCATATGTCATTAGCAGCGTCACCATCGGACAGGGAAACAGCAACTCCTGTGATGTGTACAACATTAATTGCTGGATGCTCGAGTCAAACGGTACAAAAGTCAATCGCTTCATGTTCAGCTACAACCTCTCTCCATGGCTTGGTGAGCAAGCCATCGGGAGCCTTTCCATCATTCCTGCAGCTTTTTGGCCCGAAGACCTCGAAGCCCAAGGCGGACTGACAATGAAGGAAAAGAACATTGCCCTAGGCAGACTCTATTGGGAGCTTTTGAAGCGACCAACTTATATGGATTACGAGGGACTTCTTGTGAATTCCGGGCCCAGCAACAGACAATGCCGTGGGCCAACCGGCTTCATGTGCGGTCGCGTTATATGTGATGCCCCCGGGTTTGACACATTTTATAATCAAGGACCCGATAACATGCGCGGAGGTCGCTACCACCGTATCCCGGTTTACAACGAAACCGCGCCTCCTTCCAAGGACCATCTTCCCAAGGATCTCCCGCGATGTGGCTGCGATGCCTGTATGGCAAACCGCCCAAGCTACAGCACCGAAAGCCCGTATCATGGATTCGAAGACCTCGATCCTACCCAAGACTCTCCCCCAGATAGTGACCTCTTCTATCTTGTGTGCAGCAAGACTATGCCAGGATTCCTACTTGGCGACCGACGATGGGGTCACTTAAACATCGCCAACCTGAAGCAGCTGAAGACGGACAAGGAAGCTTTCAAGTATCTTGTTCTTGACGATGAGGTCAAGATGACTGTCAAGGCCTTGATTGGAAAGTTTGCTGCTGACTTGGGAGACGGGAAACTGTCCCCTTGGGGTAATGACTTTGTGAAGAACAAGGGAGAAGGCCGAATCTTCCTGCTTCATGGTGCACCCGGCGTTGGAAAGACGTGCACCGCTGAATGCGTCGCCGAGCTCACCAACCGGCCTCTTATATCACTCACCAGTGGTGATCTCAGCGTTGACTCGTTCAATGTTGAGGCCAACTTGAGCTACTTCCTTGAGCTTGGTCAACGCTATGGTGCTCTTGTCCTTCTTGATGAAGCGGATATCTACCTCGAGCGCCGCCGCTCTAAGGACATTACCCGGAACGGCCTTGTATCTGTGTTCCTTCGAGCCCTCGAGTACTATCGGGGAGTTCTCTTCCTGACGACCAATCGTGTTCAGTCATTTGATACGGCATTCCTCAGCCGTATTCATGTCGCATTGCATTACAAGAGTCTTACTCACGAGGACTGTGAGCGCATCTGGACTCATAACTTTGACCGCTTGAGCCGAGATTCAAACGGTTTGATCCATGTCTCCGGTGCGGCTCGAGACTTTGTGTGGAACAGCCAGGATGTTCGTAGTCTCAAGTGGAATGGGCGAGAGATCCGCAACGCCATGCAAACAGCCCTCGCTCTTGCCGAGAATGAGGCTCAAGAGGAGAATCTTGAGCGGGTTACAATCAGTGAGAAGCATCTCAGGGCAGTTGTGAAGATGAGCCGTGGATTCCGCGACTACATCAAAACCGCAGTCCCCCTTGAGGGATTTGAGAAGACTCTCAACGATTCCGACGACGACGAGTAAGACAAGGAGACTCAAAGTATCTCTTTTTGTGTGTGTGGTTGTCAATTTATTGCTTTCATTGAACAATATATGTATTTAAAGCAATCTATTTCTCAGGCTCAGCGTCATTCAGGAATCTCTTTATTAGTATCTTAGCCAGTAACGATTTATGATCCCCAGATTGAATACAAATGAACTTCATGATTTACACAAAGTTTTGTGACGATAGTCAGACGCAGCCGGTAAAATACAAACAAGTGTGATTGGTCCTACAGGGTCTTTCATCACCTCTACCAGAGTATACTGGACCTGGTGATCTCTTATATGAAAAATTGAAGTTTGCAACAAGCTATGGATATCAGGAGATCGTTTAATCACTACTTATATACTGAGTTGATGCCTTGTTGTTCATACTTGGTGATACATATGTCTCAGAATGTCGGCCATCTGCCCAACGTCAACAGCATCCACTGCCCAACGCTCCAGTGTATGTATTGCAAGTTCAATGAGCATCTGCCACTGATGGGGAGGATGAATCCGGTGCGGATTAGAGGCAGCAGAGAGAACGATACATGCGCCTAGGAAGATCTTACGAGATATCAGCCATGTACCGCCATGACGCCCTTGGAAAGAAAGGCGATGGATCATCTTGGCGCAGATGTCGAGTTCTTTGAGCGCAAGGGTATGCATCTGAGGAAAGACAGGATCATCTTGATGACAGTGCAGCAGGTAATAAAAGATAGGGCGAAGTGTATACTCTTGCCAAAGGGATGCCCTGCCTTGAAGGGCAGATGCAAATTCCTCTTCTGGAAGTTTATCGTTTTCAAACTGAACTGCAGCAGGAAGATGGTAGTGCCTGAAACTCGGTGCGTCAGCTTCGTGGCCCATGTTGAGTCAAGTAGAAACTCACCACTGCGATATCTGTTGCTCAGATTCATGGTACTGGCGAATCAAGTACCTTGGGTGCTTCATCCAATACTCTTCCCCATTTCTGTACAAAAGGTTCAAGGTCTCGTCTACCGTACGCCGGATGGAAATCTCGGATAGGTAGTAGTACCACCCTCGTTCGTCGACAGAGCGCTGCTCTTCATCCTGATCAATATACGAGCCTTCACTTCTTGGAGTCTGCCCAGTTCCAGCTAATAGGCCTTCCGGGGGTGTTGGAAGCGGCTCTGGGTACGAGAAGCTCTCGAGGGCACTTGGTCGCAATCCTAGTTCAAAGACAAGCTCACTGCAAACGAATCAACACTCGACTACCAAATATATTGGTGGCCATTACTAACCTTTCTGCTCGAAAGCAGGTCCAGAAGAGTCTCTGCTCTAAATGATAGTCTGCTGGGTTGTTTTGCCGAAAAGGAACTCGGGGTCTTTCACCACGCTGGCGTAGGTGAATCTCCAGACGGGAACAGGCTTGTTGAACGTAGTACCACGCCCTCAACGGGCGAAAGGCAAATTTCTCGAAGATGGTCGCCAAGACAAAACACTGAATATCTTCAATAGTATTCCCAAGAAGACCCATCCTCTTTTGCGCCGCTGCATAGTATGGTTCAGCCCTGGG